ATTTCCCAGCTGAGCCTGTACAAGCCCATAACATCCCACAAGCTACGAGCAACTGGTCAGAGCTGGCCCAGGTGACATCACATCATCTCAAGTTAACTGCATTAGATTTGAGCTTTCATGGTTCTCTGGTCATGTCTGCATGGTACATAGCCAGGAGAGCAGCTGTCTGCTAAGGGGACAATGGGCAGAAACAAAGTAGTCAAAATGTGACTTGGCCCTTCTGCTTTATTTTTTATGACCTTCTTCTATTATAAATTGTGAATAAGAGTCTCTTAAGCTATTAATTTCACAGATGTATACAAATGCTGTCTCAGATCAATTCAGAGAACTGAATTATATACCATGCGGGTTCCAGATTTCTGTCACTGACCACCTCTGGCTAGACACCCTTTGTCAAACAGCTGTATGAAACTTGGGGTGTAGCCATACATTGCTTTTTTAGGAAGATAAATCTTGCAGCAGTCTTTCATTGCATGTTCCTGTTTAAAAATGCTTAGCTGGTTTCCCATTGTTTCTCTATATATAATAGGATAAAATCCAAACCCCTTTGCATGGCACCAAGTTCATCACAATGAAAGGACCATTTCATTCCTTCTCCTGCCTCTGCTCATTATTCCATCATATCAAGTCTTGCTTTGCATAATGGTTGTATTAGCTTTCTACTGCTCCTTTCTATGACACTAAGTCGTAAACTTAGTGACTTTAACATACAAATGTATCATCTTTCAGTTCTGTGGGTTAAAAGTTCAAAAGGGATCTTACTAGGCTAATCGGAGAGTTGGCAGTGCTGTGTTCCTTCTGGAAGCTCTAGAAGAGCATCTGTTTCCTTGCCTTTGCCAGCTTCTAGAGGCTGCCTGCATTCTTGATTCGTGGGCCCCTTCTATCTTCAAAGCCAGCAAGGGGCAGCTGAATCTTTTTCACATGGCCTCACTCTGACACTGACTTCTGCTTTCCTCTTTCACCTATATGGACTCTCGTGATTCCACTAGGCCCACTGAATGATCCAGATAATCTCTCCATCTCCAAATCTTCAACTTAATCAATCTGCAAAGTCCCAGAGTGGACATCTTTGGGAGGCCATTATTCTAACTACCAAAGTGGTGTTCCTTCTGCCTGGAGAGTTCACTTCTCTGCTTTGAAGACTTCTGCCCAAATTCCTTAGGCATTCCTTAAGATCCTATGGAAATGTCACTATTTTCATGCCCCCCCTCTTCCTCCAACCCAAGGGGCTCATTTCTCCTGTCTCCCCAGTCCCATGTACAAATACCTCTCTTGGAGCACTTACCTTGCACTATAGTTTATTTGTCCTCAAGTCTGTCTCTCTGACTAGATTCTGAGTCACCAAGTCTTATTCATTTCTGCAGCCCCTGGGGCCTAACTATTAAAGACTGTGGGGGAGAAAAATGAATGTGATATTTTAATGAGTGAAGACCTCAGGTGGAGGCAGAGGCAAGACCATAAATTCACAGGGCTTCTGTTTTGAGTGTAGCTTAGAAACTAGTTCCAACAGCTCTTAACTGGGTCTTAACCCATTTTCAATCAAACCCCTTAATTCTTCAACCATTCCAGGAGGCGTTATAGCAAACTTAGACAATTCACATCTAAGGATATTTCTTTTCTTTTCTTTTTTAAGATTTCTAACTTTAATGTGAATTGCCATGGATCGCAACATGTCAGTTTTAAGTGTCCTCCTAGGCATGGCTGGAAAGGGCAAGCTGCACCCCAAGTGCTTGGTTAGGTGAGGGAAGTGATACTATCTGAATGATTTCTGAGTTCCAAAAAATGACACTCATCTAACAAATCTGACTATACTACGTTGGAGGTTAAAAGCCACTTTGCCACAATATTTATTTGGTATTTCAGTATCTGGAAGTTTTTCATTTAAAAAAAAAAATAGAACAAAAATTCAAAATTAAACAAAATTTAAAATAGCCTTAACTACTCAACTATTCAAATTACAAGCCAAAGGAGAGGTTGAATAAATTATGGCCACATGAATGCGGGAAGATCTATTTTTAAAGGCCAATAGTTTGCTATGAATATCCAATGTCACCTACAACACCATACAGTACAGAAATCTAAAGACATGAAAATAAAATGAAAAATTACGTGCCTAGCAGTTGAGTTGAAAGAACCCAACAGGCACAGAAAAAGAAGAATTGGGGGTGCCTGGGTGGCTCAGTCGTTAAGCGTCTGCCTTCCGCTCAGGTCATGATCCCAGGGTCCTGGGATGGAGCCAAGCCCCGTGTCTGGCTCCCTGCTCCGCAGGAGGCCTGCTTCTCCCTCTCCCACTCCCCCTGCTTGTGTTCCCTCTCTCGCTGTATCTCTCTCTGTCAAATAAATAAATAAAAATCTTAAAAAAAAAAAAGAAAAGAAAAAGAAGAATTGATCACCTGTTTCCTCATTTGAATACAAAGTCTACTCTGCTATTTTTTCTTCATTAGCAATAGTAAAACCCCTCTTGGACCTAAATCTTGTCAGTTTTGGTCATTTTCATTTAGGAAACTCCATTCTTTTGTGGAATTCCTGAGGCAATAAGCAGCGTTTAAACATGCCATTTGTTAAATTTCACTGCTTTTCCTAATCTTGAAAAAATGAGATTTTTTTAGCTTCAAAAGGGGGCCTACTGATCCGTATTAAACCTCACATTCACAAAGAGGGACACTTAGGCCTTGCTGCTTCCTCTAGGTCACGAAGAAGCCAAGGCTAAGGGGAGACATTATTGACTGCCACTTGGGAATGCAGCCTGAGAACACAAGACTTGCTCTACAGGATTAATTGTGCATATATGCGGTGCTTCAAGGCCGACTTCAAACTTGGTACATTTTTATAGAGAAGAGAAGTGCAATTTCTCAGTGTTTGTGTTTTTTTGTTTTTTTCCCCAAACTTCTAAATTGTTCTGTGAATGTAGTTAGAAGTACATTTAGGAGCAATGAACACCACCAACCAACCAACTGGGCTAACATGGAGGACTTCAGGCTTAATTTGTAGAAAGACTATCATGTCATTGCTATTGTTGTTGTCTGGACATTTTAAGCCTTTCCTGTTCTTAAATCTTGGTTATGTATAGGCTAAGCAGAAAGCTCCCTGGGGAAATCACTCAGAGGATCTGGAATTAGAGCTGGAGCCATCTCAGGCCAGAACAAACATTAAAGGCTATTCACAAACCAATGAAAAGTCAATGCACCTCCAAAGTCTTAAGGTCTGTCAAGAATGCAAGCAAGAAGTTTTGTAATAAGCTTAATAAATAAAACAACTGAACCTACTAAGTGGTACTTACGGAAACAGGCTTGAGGATATAGCCTGAGAGGTAGAACAGGTTCCCACTAGAACAAGGATTGTTTACCTTGCTCCGATTAAATCCAATAATCCTAAGAGTTGTAATGGTACTAAATGTTTTAGCAAGAATCAACAGTAGAAACCCCAGTGGGATCTACAAACTGCATTTTTCTGTAAAAGTAAAATGCCAGTAGGAACGATATCGTTCTAACAGTCTCCCTTCTGAATATAAATCTTCTTCCATCTTGCATTTCATCCTGAACAATTTTACTATGTTCAGCATAGTAGCAACTGAAAAAAATGTGTTTCATCTAGAAGCAAAAGTGAGAAACCTTTACAAAAAACACTGAGCTTCTCCAAAGCTAGATTTCCAAGTTCTTAATATAAGCTAACACAAAATAAAGACTGCTACAGTAACCAAACTTTTCTGCTAAAAAGTATCCTTAAAAACAATGACAATTCGACCACAATAGATTATTTTCTACAGTGTGAGCAGATAATGGACCTACATTCTTCTTCTTCTTCTTTTTTTTTTGCTAGCTTGCTTTATAAATCTTGCAACTTGCAAGCTCAAGTTTTTTTGGAGGCCAAGGCAAGTTAATAGTCGAGCTTAAAATAAATCGGCTTTGCAATTACTTTGGTTTTTTTTAAGCCGATGAAGCACGTTTCCCCATTCCATGCCATGAAGCAATTCGATGTCAACTTGCTATGGAGTCAAATGCGACAAACTCCGAGAGCTCCAGTCGCGAGGCGGTGGCTTGCTGCACCCACAGCTTCTCGCACTCCTGCAGCATCGGGACGCTGCACTCTCCCGGCTCTGGGCGCAGAACACGAACTCAGGGCCTCCGGGCCACGGGACAGTACACCCTACCCCCGTCCCGGGGAAACTGAGGCACGGTGACCCGAGCGATCTGAAGTCCGGCGAAGGCCCCCGCCGCTGCTTGGCGTTCCCTTGCCCCCCGGAGGTTCAGGAGGCTCCTAGGCATCACACTGTAGACACCGCGCTCTTCGCCGTAGGAAGATTACGGCACAAGCCTGGGAGGTGGCTGTCCCCAAACCACCGGCCCCCCGGGTCCCGCCCCGCACGGATCTCGAAGCATCCTGAGACCCCCAGGAGCCCGCTACTGGGACCTCGCGGCGCCTCCAGCACGCAGCCTCCTCCTCGGGCTCCGCCAGCCTAAGCGCCCGAAAGTTCCTCGGCCCCAGCGGCCGCAGCGACTCGGCCGCCCACCCCGTGCGGGGCTCCCTGCCACCCGCGCCCCGCCGCCCCTGCTGTCCCGGCGCCCCTGCTAACCTGACGCCGCCACGCCACTCAGGTGGCCGCCTTGCGCTCCTCGCCATGGCCAGCCTGCGAGCCGTCGCCGCTCCACGCCCCGCGCCCAGCAGCGCCTACTGCGGGCGAGCTGCCTCCGCAGGCGCCGGGCAGCGATGCGGGCTGCGCCGCGGGCGGCCGGGAGTGCGGAGCTTCCCACCTACAGCAGCCGGAGCCGGCCGGTGCCGAGCATGCCCAGTGCGGCTCGCCGGGCGGCGCGGAGGCGCGGGGCCGGGAGGGGTGTCGCCGCCGGGTTTTCGCAGCAGCCGCGGGCGCGGGGCGGAGCGGGCGGCGCCGGGCGAACCTGTGAGAGCCGCGGGATCCACCCGCAGAGGAGGGGGGCGGGCTGAGTGTGCCCGGGAGTCCCTCATTCAGCCGGCGCAGGCTCTGGGGCGGGATTCGGTCCCCCGGGCTCCGCTCAAGCACGCCTAGGGTGTTGCTGGAGCCGAGGGCACTTATTTCCGACGCTGTGATGCTTGGGCGGCGTGACTGATAATTGTTGGGGAGCAGGGCGCTCCCAGGGCTTCCAGCGCAACTTTTCTGAGCGTCGTGTCGCATTGTTGTTCAGGGACACCCAGGAACAGGTTTCCTAGGATTCCATCCTGGGACTCGGGAGAGAGCTAACCGTCCAGCCTCTGGACTTACCCTATTCCAAGGCCACCTGTGAAGCCACCTGGCAATCAAAAGCTTCGCAGGCCTTACGGGTGACTCTGCTGTCACTTCTAAAGCCCACACAGAAGCGGCTGCAACAAAGTACAGCAGGATGTTCACTGGTGGCTTCTGAGTGGTGGGGTCCCAGGGATTTTTAATTTCCTTCTTTTTTGATTAGTTACAGTTTCTCAGTTTTCTATAACGGACAATCTGGTGCTTTTTAAATAAGATATATTATTCTATGTTATTCTAAAATGATTTTTTGAAAACGCCTGCAGAACTTCGGCAGCACCGTCCTGCAATGTAAGCAGCGACCCCCCACCCCCCCTTTTTTTAGGCTTGCGGGAGAAAATTTCTGGGGCCCGGACCAGGCTCCTCCTCCCTGGCTCCTTTCGGGCCGCCCCTTGACCACGCCCCCATACCGACCCTTTTACTCCAGTACCGCCCTCTTCTCCTTTGGTTGCTGAGAAAACCCGGAAGGGTGGACTTTCAACACTGACGTTCCCGGTGGCTCCTATGCCAGGCTGGGCCTGTTCCGCCGCCGGGTCAGGGACTGCTGACAAGGAGAGAGGCGTCTTTAAGCAACTCCCAGCCTCTCTCCTCCTGCTCTCGGTCCTTGGCAAACGGAACAAAGTAGCACCTCCGACCCCCTGCCAGGAGCTCGGACCTGCAAAGTGGGTCAGGACTCGACTGAGCATGCTCCGGACAGTGCCAGAATGCCGCACGCGGCTGCATCTCGTTGCCCAAGGTTGGTGTAGCTGCGCTCGCTCGTCACGACATCGAAGGTCAGGAGGCGGGTGGAAGCGGGGTCCTCGAGTTGCGCTATAGCTTCGACACGTGGACAGGTCGCTTCTACCCAGGCCTGTGTTGGGGGGGGGGGGGTGCATGGGTTCTGGCTTATAAGTGACTCAAAGCCTGATTTTTCCCTAAAAGATTAAAATTAGAAATAATATTTTAACATTGGCTTTATGGCATCTCCAATAATAACACGTTTTAAGCTCTAAGAACTTTTCAGCCCATCTTTAAAGAAACCTGAATCTTTTTTTGATTTGCACTAGAGCCCTAAATTTTCTCTTGTTTTATCAAAGATTAAATGTTTGTCCTCACTTTAAAATAATTCCACAGTATTGTATTACTTTTTTTTCCTTCCAACAATTCTGTGTTCACTGCGACTCCTGTCCACCTTTTTTCAAATTCTCAGAGAATCAGCAGAATGCTCTCATGCTATTTTAAATAGGCTTGAAGCAGGTGTGGGAAATTTGCTTTTAATGCTCTGTCACAGAGGAGAAGACTGAAATGGAGAAAGATTACAGGGAAGAGATTTTACAGGCTTGAGGTAAATAAACTCGAGAACCCAGAGAGAGCCTTGCAGTGAGCCCGGGCAGGTCAGTGGGATATTTGTCTGTTTTCTGTCTGAGGAAGGAAATGGGCAGATGGGTCAGCTGCCTAGTGACGTTTGGTGTGATAGTGGGAGATACTGTCACTAAAGGTTGGCTTCATTTCAACCTCTCGCTCTCATCCAGCCCCGGTTCAGCTTCAGCATGATTGGAGACACCATCTTTAGTGGAAGGTCACTCCTGGGAAGAACTTAAGTGTTTCCCCCTGGACCCTAACTTGTGCTGGGTCACCCTCATCCCTCAGCTTTGAGACTCCATGGTTCCTGGTACCTCCTGAGCACTGCTCTTGTTCCCTATAGACATCCACACCACAAATTGTCTGTCTGGGGAAGAGATGGGTAAGACATCTCTTTAATAGTCCATACTGCCATTCCTTCCCATCCGAAGCTTCCTGGTCCCCAGTCTTCTATGACATAAACCTTTCTTAGTTTTCCTGTCTTTCTGACGGTTCCTTCTCATCTTCGTTCTCCAGGTTCTTTTCCTTTGCACCACCCCATTGTAAGTGTTCTGTCCTGTGGCCTCTTCCCTTCTGCTTTCCCTTCTGCTCTTCCAATCCGATGACTATCAGTACCAAGGTGGTGTTCAGTTGGTGTCTTGCTAGCTGTTAATTGCTGCAATTCTTTCTGGTCCATCAGGCACCTATTCTCATTGGTCAGTGTCTATGCCTGATCATTGGTCTCTAATGGTTATTAATATTTTGAGTATTATCTTTGCCCCAAATGTTATATTCCTCTCCAAATCTCCCTGAGTTTGGACTCTTATAGGTAATCTACCAATATCTTAATTCCTGTGACCCTTAGGAAACTTGAGCTCTATATGTCCCAAACACAACTCAAGAGCTGTAGTCGCTCTCCTACTTATGTGTCCTAACTTGGTTACTGGAACCCCCATCTTCTCAGCTCTGCACACCACAAATATGGGTGCTATCCTCGATTCATCCATCTACCTTTTGTCTGTCATCCAGCTAGCCACTGGGCACTGCCCACCCTACCCTTAGACATCTCTGCATATGGACCCTCCACCTGCACTGCCCTCTCAGGCCCATTATCCCTTCCAAATGAGTCCTCTCTCTCCCTGTGTTTCCTCCAATCCAGTCTCCATGCCTCCTCAGACTTTTCTTTCTAAGCAAATTATATTTTAGTATATTTGCTAAGCCCTCAGTGTATGGGTTCATAGTGCCTTCAGGATAAAGTCCAAATTTTAACCATGAACTAGCCCGTCTCCCTCTCCAGATCAGGCTCCAGCCAGTGTCCCCTAGTGTCCCATATCCTAGCCAACCCGAGCTACTTGCTATGCGAATTCATGCCTCCATGTTCCTTTAGTTCTTTTGTTTCTTCTTTCTGCTTGTTCACCCTTTGGCAACTGACAAGCCTTCAAGGTCCAGTTCAAGCTTGGTCCCCTGCGATCTCCTCAAGATGACTTTCTCGTGAATACTTCACCTATGTACCATATACTTTCTTCAGTTTGACACCTAACCTTGGTTTATTATTTTTTTTTTCAACTCCTGCATTACATTGTAGGCAGTATGACAACAAGAGCTTGTTTCAATCATCTTTGTATCTTTGTTTTTCAGTTTTCAGTAATATTTTACTTAATAAATGAATGATTGACATTTGTACGCATACAATATTTAAAACTCATTAATTTTTAAAAATTCTTCCTGAGTATTGTAAATAGAATGCAAAGAAAAAAATACCAGAACAAAGCCACATCACATACAACCTGCTGAATGGTTATGCTTTTTTGAGTAATATAAGCAAGATCTCAGATTTGACCTTAAACTCAGTGAATTTTCTTCAGCTTCAGAAATCCAGGAAGTGTGTTGTAAGCCAGTCTGATGTACTTGTATTATCAGTCTCTAACTGCACAAAGCTCAGCATTGTATTGCTAATTAATCCACAAATTCCATTGTTCTTTATCACTGTGTTTTTTCCCATGGGGTTGTTATTATCCTCTAATTATATAGTTAGTCCTTAGAATAGATTTTGTTTATTTTTTCTGCTGAAAGTATGGCACCTCTGGAAAGCAGATTAACCCTTTAGGAATGAACATAATTTTTATAGTTCTTCCAGCTCCTATTGTCTGCCTGGACCACCTAAAGCTAACTATGGAGGGGAATGACCACCTGCTTTAGAACCCCCCAGGGGATGAGGAACGCCTTCCAGACCTCCTGGATAGAATGGTCTCCAGGGCAGCAATTTTAACAAGCCCTCAAGGGGATTTCACACCCTGTATTTGCGAAACATCGCTCTGTATCATATGGATAAAAGGAAAGCTAGTAACTCTTAGTCCAGAACTTCGAGTAGCCCCAATGATTGGTTTTCTTTGGCAGAGAGATATATGTGAGTGGAAAGGGTATCAGTCCGTTTCAAAGAGTGTCGTCCATGTTTGGGCTGATTACATAGCCTTGACTTATTTTAGAGTGTGGAGAATACGGAAGAGCCCCTCGGAGGGGAGCTTCTCGCTTTTCTCTGTGTTGAGGCACACAAGGATTCGTACTCAGTGACCACGTAGGCCCCGTGTTATTCGCCAGCACCTCTGTCCTCAATTCAGCCTCCTTTGACCAAGGGTGGGTGGGACAGGGGAAGTTCTGGCCTTACCCCCTTCCTGCAAGGGGACAGTAAGAGGTCTTGTGACCCTACATTAGGCCTTTTCCTTGTTCTTGGGAGTCTGAAAGGACACAGTTAGGAAGGGGCATGGGGGAGGAATGAAAGAAAACAAATACTTCTCTCCACGATCTTGTGACGCGCTGGCCAAGGAGAGTGAAGCATCTTGAGAAGTATGAATCAGTATTAGAAAAATACTCCCTTCCTCGTTATGGGTTTCGACTGAGCACTGGTGTTGGTCCTTTGGAGGTGTGTGGGCATGTGCGTGTGGTCTAACCAGTTAGCCAGCGGCAATAATCAGGAGCGCAGATGGCGTGCCTGCAACTCACATGGGGCAGAAGCTCCAGCTCAAAGGGTCACGCCCTCCCTGGCCCTCCCTGGGAGAAGGCATCAAAGCCCTGCCCTCCCGGACACTTTGCCACATTAATAACCATTGTAGACAAGCCTCCCACCCATCAGGGCTTCCGTGGACACGGTGAGTCACATTTAGGGATGAATTATTGGCAGGAAAAGGGATGAATCCAAGAATCTTTTCCTGTGTGTAGGGGCTTTCTGAATGGCAGATGGATATTTGCAGAGGAAGGTGAGAAGAGGGCACCCCTTGGTAAGAGAAGTGTGAACAGAGCCCTGGAAAGGCTGCCCGGGGAGATGGGGTGAGTCCTAGAGGGAACCCTTTGTAAAAACTTGACTTCACAGGTGCCTCTCTCTTGGATTCTGGAAAAGTTATGTTTTGCACATAGCTTGTTTTGTTTTAGTTTATAATTTCCTTGGGAAGGAGGGAAGGTCAAACATCCACTTTCCCACCATAGGGTGGCAGAGGTCAGTGTTGGGGGACCCAAGTAATCAAACAAACAAATCACTGTCCAACAAGTGGGAAAGCGAACATCCACGGGAAGCCAACATATTCTCCAAGAGTCCCACAAGGACAGTCCTTTGTCCCTGACACTTGACAGGGAGGTCACAGTACCAACGTCAGAATGCTGCTCAGGCCCGAGGGGCACTCAGGCCGGAGGGGCTCTCAAGCCCAGGTGAACATCTACAGCATCACTGTGACCTCAGCTGGAATAACCTGGTAAATCTGCTCAGTGAGAAACCCAAAATAAACTTGGAGAGGTGAATTGCCCATTTCTCTGCTGGTGATTTTCATGCCTCTGTCTTTTGAGTGGTAAATATACTTGTGTTGAGAGGGAAGGGAAGGAAATTCTATTATTTTTTCTTTTTAGCTTATAGTTAAATGTAACACCAGAAATCTCTGTGTGGCTAGGGCAGGGAGGGCAGAGGATGAGGTGGATGATGGGGGAGCACAAGCTCTTTTGGGGGCTTAGGGGACTTACAGAGGCAAGAATGGGGAGAATAAGATGCTTGCCCGGCACTAGGTAGAAATAACTGGTTTTCATTTGGTAGGATTTGAAGGACACTGGAAGGCTGAGAAGGCCCTCATTATATGGAGATCTGGTTTCCTTTCTTGAGGCCTTCTCCTCTGCTAGGCTAGGTTTCCATAAAGCTGTGGTCCAAAGCCCAGGCCCTTCCCTGAGAGGCTTCATAGTGGGGAGCATGAACACTCTGGACATCCACAAGTGAATTGTCACCACAGGTGAGTGCTGAGAGGGGACTGAAATGTACTTTTGATGATGTTACAATGGTGGTTTGAGCCAACCCTAGGAAGGAAGTTTTCTAACAGATTGAAACTCTGTTCTTTCCTATCGCAAAAGACACAGTTCTGTGTCCTAGCCTTTAGTGTGACCCCCGCCCTCCCTCTCCCAAATAACACATACAATTTCTACATGTCATTACAGGAACCACAGTATTTGGTTCATTCTCCACCATGGATGAGTGTGCTTACGGATCGTTGTTTTCACTTAGGGACAGTGTGGGGGTTTGAGATAACTCTGGTTATATGGCTAAGGGAATAGGGTCTCTCCCATTTGGACCACACCTGCTTCTCAGGCATGTATAAACTTCGCAGCTTCTCTTTAGGAGTCTTTTCAGTCTAATCTAGTACCGTTTCTGGCCTGTAATAGATGCCAATAAATTTTGTTCAACTACATGCTGGATATTGGTATTAGAACTTTGCATTGGAGTATCTTGGAGGCAGGCATTTTAAAATACAAATACCATCAGTCGCTTGGCTGGTCTGAAACACCATTCAGACTTTGGCCTCAGTCTGTGTGACATTGATTCTGCTTTTTTTTTCTGATGAAGTGTTTCAGATCTGTTACCAGCATGTTTCTCCCTGATTTGGGTCAGCTGGCACAAAGGGAAAGCTGCTAAAATATTGTGGATCACTATAGGGCTGAAAGCATGAAACATTTTGAAGAAGGTTTCTAAGAAATAGTTTGTGGCTATTTTTTCAGCATCATGGTTTACGGGTTCTCTCTTCTAATTTCAGCTATTAATTAAATATAATAGCATTTCTACTATTAATGTCAATTAGTCTTCCTTTTTGCTTTTGTAGGAATTTTAAAGGCGGCTTAATTTTGAAATTAACCATCCTTAAAACTTGAAGAATTCTGTGATTATATTTATGAACTAAATGGACCGGTTTCCTTAAACTGAGCAGAAATTATGATTTGGTGCTCACAAGTATAGAATGTAGGGTGAGGTGGATCAGAGGTACAGCTAAGAATCATTAATAAGCGTAATGGCATTGGCTTGCAATGACAGGGAGAAAACAGAATGGAGTATAAAAGGATTCTGCACATCTGTCTCGATGTGATTGATTTCAGTGATTTATAATTCTGTGTGTGTGCTTTGGCCTGTGGGACTAATTATTGAAAATGGACTAAGCTTGAAAGGGGAGTACCCAGCCCATCTTTAGGAATCTGTTACATGAATATTACATTTAATTACATTAAAAGCCCACTATTGCTTATTGCCCATAAGAGACATGGTAGGTAATAAGTTCACTCCAAGCAGAACTACCTGTCATCCCTTAGCCCTTTACCAACTTGTAATTCATCTGGCACTGGGCCCCCATTCCTCAGGGTACCTACCTGAAGAGCAGGAGAACCAAAGAGATTTCTGGAGATGGTAGTATTACAAAAGAGCCCCAAAACAGGCATCCATAGGAAAATCACACTCCTTCTCCCCCTGCCTCACACTCATTTTATAGCTTGAAGGTCAGCATTTTGAAGTCACTGTGTACTCTTTTTGGAACTAGGGTGGTTTTCTTTTAAAGGTCTTAATCTGGATTTCTGTCTTTTATCTTTGCCCGTATTTACCCTCACACTATTTTTCTTGAGAGTGTTATTTGCCTCCCTTTCATAATATTATGGGAAGACTCATGGGGAAATGAGGAACCAAAGCCATTATGGGAAGAATCTGAGAGACTTCTCAGATGCAAGCCCGGCTGTAGCCCTCCAGATCCCATTCCTGTTCGCCTGACTTCCAGGACAGTTCCCAAAGACCACATGCTTCAGTGGTTGGATTGATTTATTTCTTATACGATTCGGGCTCAGGCATAGGCTTCTTGTAAATAGTAGTTGTTGTCTAACCTAAAATATTAAAAATGTGGTCTGACAGGCAAATCAGGAACATGGAAGTTGCACAATTCAAGGATCACTGGCTCTTTGATGCCAGCATGTGGTACCAAAACACACCTTTTTCAGTTTGTGAGATCCACTTACAAAGGCATTTGGGTTTTTAAGAAACCACACTGAGAAAGTAGTATTGGCAGTTTCAGAGAGCCTGCTGCGTTACCAGATCCCTTCTTGGGTTTCCCTTGCTCAACCTCCCTGGCTTCCCCCAGAGCCCCGCCTGCCCCCGGCTCCACCAGGGGCTCACTTGCTGTAGGAGAAGGTCACAGTCTAAGTGGCCCTCTTGTCAGGCAGTGCTTAGGGACCAGGAGGCTCATGTCCAAACACAGGGTGCTGGGGGTCTTCTGGGTGCTCAGGGTTACCCTGGGTCAGGAGCGTTGTGTCCTGCTTCGTGTTCCAGCTCTTTCTTGGCCCCTGTCTTCTGTCATCGGGGTTGAGGGTGATGAAAGAATATAGTTAGTAGTCCTCTGCCACTTCCCTTAGCTACCCGCCCCCCCCGCCCCAATCTCCCAATTCCCTATGGTGGCACCAGCCGGAAGCCTGGTGTTGGGGCTGAAATGACTCTCCCCCTTGCTCTTATCATCTCTGCTTCACCAAGCGTATAGGCTGATGGCCTGCTGGTTTTTAGTGCTGAGGCACTGTTACCCCTGACGCAGTCCTAGTAAAGGTATCTGGCATCCTATGGATCACTCGGGGATTTCCTCAGAGCTCCTCAAATGCCAGTGGGACCCTTAGAGCCACACCTCCATCTGGAGTGGTGGTTAGAGCTGTGAGTTCCTTAGAAGGTCTAGAGGTGGGGCCATGGAGTGAGGGGAAATGGGAATTTAGGAAGGGGGTCTGTATATCTTCACTTCGTACTCTTTATCAACTGGAAGCAACTTTTAATGGAATAATTATCTTTAATATCTGTAAATGCATATTGATAAGTTTAGAGTGAGATTATTTTTTATTTGTTGCATTAACTGTCAAGCTGTGTCATCCTAAACATTAAGGCGATGTGGCCCACCAGCATACCTGTGAGGGCATGGTAAATTGAGTAATGTTTTATGAGTTTCAGTATGATTGGCTCTTAATGTCATCACAATAAATTAGCCATATAATTCCTGAGTTTGAGAATGAATTAGATGTAGTATTTTGGATCAGTGAAACTAATATTGCAGTAAGAGGGGAAAATCAAGTCTAATGCATACATTTTTAATTTATTACAAAATAAATATGCCAGATTTGTCTTCAATTTGGGGACATTGCATAATTTATAGTGACAGTTCATTTACAAAGGAACTAGGGTGCCTTTTTTTTTTTGGTTAGCTATCAAACAAATTGGAGAGTGACTCTTATCCCATGAGTTATTTATAGTGGAAGATTAATAAAACCATTAAGCATGATGAATGAATTTTCAGTGACAGGCCTACAGCAAGAATAAATACCAGCAACAATAAAAATATAATGACTTTTACATTTTTAATCAGTCTAAAGAATTTTCCTAAACGTCAAATGAAGTGATTTCATTTTTTTTTTTAAAGATTTTATTTTTATTTATTTGACAGAGAGATAGAGAGAACAAGTAGGCAGAGAGGCAGGCAGAGGGAGAGGGAGAAGCAGGCTCCCCGCTGAGCAGGGAGCCCGATGCGGGGCTCGATCCCAGGACTCTGGGATCATGACCCGAGCCGAAGGCAGCCGCTTAACCGACTGAGCCACCCAGGCGCCCCGAAGTGATTTCATTTTTATCTGGTACAACATTAAAACAGTTTTATTGTGCAAGCTACATTTTTTTTAAGATTTATTTATTTATTTATCAGAGAGAGAGCATGAGAGGGGGGAAGGGCAGAGGGAGAAGCAGACTCCCCGCCGAGCAGGGAGCCCGATGTGGGACTCGATCCCGGGACTCCAGGATCATGACCTGAGCCGAAGGCAGTCGCTTAACCAACTGAGCCACCCAGGCGCCCTGTAAGCTACATTTAACAGGCATTTCTTATCCACCCAAACTAGTTAAAACTCTGGAGGATAGAGGCCACGGCTCATGTTCTTACAGGCTCTGCATCCAGGGTATTATCCTGCACATAGTGGGTGTTTGCTAAATATCTGTTGAATAAAATATGAGCTTAATAGTGACTTATACAGTTTTCAAATAAACTAGTCTATATTAGGAAAGGAGATATATGGAGAATAGGCAATGACTTCATTTTGAATGGTTGCTTGCCTTAAGAAAAAAAAAGAATGATTATTTAGTTAGAAGCAAGTTGCTACTTGGGGAGGTGGCTTCTCTTGTAGAGTTAGGTTATAAAATTAGTATATAGTAAGACTTAATCTAGAAAATGCCTTCCAGCACGTGATGTGATGAGCACTGGGTATTATATGCACCTGATAAATTACTGAACACTACATCTGAAACTAATGATGTACTCTATGTGGCTAATTGAATTTAAATAAGAAAAAAGAAAATCCCTTCCATTAACCATAAAATTTAACGTACCTGTTTGAGTATATAACCTATTTCCAAAGGGAGGGATGAAAGGAAATTCTCTATGTAAATATCTGGGCATCAGATCCATCTGTTTTGAAGATACCTATCAAATTCCCAGGTGAAGGGAGCCTACGGGGAGACTTGCAAAGGTTCCTGCTTGACCACAGGGTTGGCTCCATTCTGGCTTAATATTAAATCTCTATAACTGTAATACCTAAGGAATGCATGATACTATGAGGATTAAATATAATAAGGATTCATATATTCTGTATCTTATAGGGATCGGATGCTGAAGTCAGAGACTCCACTGCCCTTTGCCCTGTAAGTAGGGGTTTTGTTATGTGAAGGGACACTGGGAGTCCGTGGCATTTCTTTGATTCAGTCAAATTACTTGAGAGTTGCTGTGGCCACATTGGAGTGGGGTTGCACAGAGAGGTTTTAATCCAGTTTGGACTGTTTGATGAAGGCCTAATTGGTTGATTACTGGTCTCAGATCACAACATACTACAGCATGCCAGGAAAACCAAGATATCATTTATGTTTGGAATTTGATTTCACCTTGTTCTGGATTTTGGAGGAGTCTGTCCAGTGTTTTACGATGGTCACAAGAGCACTAATACTAGGCATATTGTTGATAAAAGCTGAATGATGGAGAGCATGGAGTTCATGAGCTCCACGAATCTTTGTGCTCTTCTCATTTAATTACACTTAACATTTCCAGCCCAAAGTGGAATGTAATGAGGCCCTTTCCAACAGGCCTGGTGTTCGATGGGGGTAGAGTAGCTGGACCTCCAGAGATGGAGTTGCTTGGAAATAAGAGTCTTCTATATCCTGCGTCTCTGGCCAGCCTGCCACGAATGCTACTTTCCTCCCAGCCGTGTAGCCTACCTACCACACGAGTTCCACCTCATTTACAAAATGTATGTACTGATCCTTCCTTCGAGTGCTTGCGATCTGGTGTAAGAAAGTGCTGACTGGGGGCGCCTGGGTGGCTCAGTCGGCTAAGTGGCTGCCTTCAGCTCAGGTCATGATCCCAGGGTCCTGGGATGGAGCCCCGCATCGGGCTCCCTGCTCAGCGGGAAGCCTGCTTCTCCCTCTCCCTGCCACTCTGCCTATTTGTGCTCTCTCTCTCTCTGTCAAATAAATAAATAAAATCTTTAAAAAAAAAAAAAATGCCTTCTTTCTCTTTAAAAAAAAAAAAAGTGCTGACTGCCTATGGTGTTTACCTGTGGCCGAGAAGCTCTATACACAAACATGCACAGCATCCTGTTGCTATTGAGGTGGCAGGTGCCCTACTGTCTTAGCCCAAAGTACAGGCTCAAAACCCACTGGGGTGAGTTCTGCTGGGTTTGGGTGCTATGCGCAGATGAGTAATTTATGTGAGAGAGGACCTCAAAAGGGGAGCAGAACTGGATAGATCCTGTGTGTGTGCTATGGACTGAGTTATGTCCTCCCCAGATTCATATGTTGAAACCCTAACCCCCAACGTGATGGTGTTAGGAGTGGGGTTAGAAAGTAGTTAGGTCCTAAAGGTAGGGTCCTGCTGGGATTAGCGCTTTTACAAGAAGAGACTCAAGAAGATCTTTCTCCTTGCCATGGGAGGACACAGCCAGAAGGCAGTCTTCTGCAGCCAGGAAGAAACTCTTACCAGAACCTGACCGTGTTGGCACCCTGGTCTCAGACTTCTAGCTGCCAGATTGTGAGCAATAAATGTCTGTTGTTTAAATTGCCTAGCCTATCGTATTTTGTTATAGTAACCAGAGCTGACTAAGACCATGTATTTCCAGAAAACGTTTGTCTAGAACATTGTGTCATCCTTCAGTGTAATAGTCTTACGCTGACTCATGTCTCCTTATATGGAAGAATCAGCTTACAGCAGGGCAAATGAGTGACAATTTCAGAGGCGGCCAACATTAGTGTCACGCTAATGCAATGTGCTGCTAGCATGAGGGCCTGAGAAGTTTTATTTTTTGTAAGGATGCAATTAAATGATTAATCTTTCGGGAGAGGGCAGCTGTGTTGCCATGCAGTTTGAATGTGGTTTGCATGGGATGGGGTTTTGAATGCAACTGTACCATATGTTCGTTTTTCGAAGAAATGGTTCTGGTTTTTTGTTTGTTTATTTTGAGACTCTTTAAGATAATTCAAAACATCTCTTACAGAAAAGGTCTACGATCATTTGCTCTCACTGAAATTCTTGGATTCTGTTTGTTTTCTTTAAAAATTTTCTAAAAAATCAATTTGTTACAAATTTTAAATGTTGTCAGTCATCCCCCACCCCTGCCTCTTTTCTGGAATTGCAGTTCTCTGTGTAAAAAAATTTGTAAGGAGTTGTAGTGCTTGAATGCTTATTTCATAGAAAAAAATGATTCACTCAATTCATTTTTATTTCTCCTATTTTCAGCCTCTCCTTGTTCTTCTGTTATATATTTGGCTCTTATAGTTTTTTCTGTCTCTTTTAGAAGTTCTGTCACCTTTAGAGTATGTACAGTAACAAGTTAGAAATACACACAAAACATTTTCCACAAAGTGAATTTTCCTGCATGAGTTTATTGTGTTACCGAGTCTGTTTTAGGGAAATGTAATCAGCAGATAATAAGAATGAGAAATGGGAACATTTCCCCCCCTTCTCTCAACCATTCCCACTGATCAATTTACTTTTGGTTATCTGCTCAATGTGTAAAAGGCAACATGATAGCTGATAAAACTTATTTCAGAGTTTGAAAGCACACGTTATTCTAATAGCACAGATGGGCATATGTTTCCACTAGGTATCTGGGAAAACCTGACAATTCCATAAAAATAGACTTCATGGATTGGGTAGCTACCCTGTCCATTTCAGATCATAGAGTTTCAATGTACATGTTGGCCAGGTGTTTTTGTTTTAAGTCACCTCAAGTCCTTTTCAGAAATGGGGATGTCAGTTAATAAATAAGTCACCAAATAAGCAGAGAGATATGGACGGTTTTTTATTTTGTTTTGTTTTGTTTTGTTCTGTTTTTCAGAATCAGCACAGTACGGCCTCCAAAGGCGGAGAGTCGTAGATGTGTGGATCAGGGTCAGGAGCATTCTGGATCATTTTTCGGGCTGGCAGTGGAGCTGAAAGCCCAGTTCTGCCATGCAAGGTAGTCTGTCTGCCAACCTATAAGCCATGAGAACAAGAACAAGAAGAGTCAAGGAGCGCAGTGTGAATACCTCGCATCCGGCTGATGTGGCAAACAAACAGATGGTTGATAGAGCAGGGGCACGGCCCGCCCTCCCCATGATGGGAACCCAGAGAGGAGCCTCATCCAGCCCCTTTTGCTGTTTCACGGGCCTCCACCAGCAGCCGCACTTGATTTCAAGTTGGCAAAAGAAGATTGACCCAGAGTCTTTGGATGTATACAGCCTCTGCTTGCAACAGTTTGTCCCCTGCTCTGACATTCCAATAGACGGCTACATCTGGATACTCCTACTGGATTTCACTGTATCCGTTTGTACCTGTACAACACTGAGTCAAGGTAGTGAATTCTGGTTGATGTGCGTGGTTAGTTTGCTCTCGGGTAGCTGTAATAAAGTACCACAAATTGAGTGGCTTAAATAGAAACTAGTGTCATAGTTCTGGAGGCGAGAAGTCTGAGATCAAGGTGTCAGCAAGCCGTGCTCCCTCTGAAGGCCTTAGGGAGGGATCTGTTCCAGGCCCCTCTGTCCTGGCTTCTGGTAGTTTACTGGCTTGTGGCAGCCTCACTCCAGTCTTCACATGGTGTTCTCCCTGGGGTGTGTCTGTGTCCAAATGTCCCCTTTTGATAAGCACACCAGTCATATTGTGACCACGCTACTCCATTGTGACCTCATCTTAAGTGATTGCATCTGCAACCACCCAGTTTCCAAATAAGGTCACATTCTGAGGTAACTGAAGTTAGGACTTCAACATATGAATTAGGGGCGGGGGGGGGGGGGACACACAATTTGGCCCATAACAGTGCAGTTGGCATGAAGAAAATCAGCTTATGGAGAGTTAGCACGGTAGGATCCTAGAAGATTAATTATTAGATACAAACTTCATAGAAGATTAGTGAGCAGTAAAAAGCACATGATTTTAAAAATTAAATTAGGTGAAGTGTCTCCCAAATGTTCTATAATAATTAAAGCTCTTTTATATTTTCTCATATCTCTCTCCCAACCCAAACGGCCCTTCTTTCTCTGAATCTCTGCCATCATCCCAGCTCCAGCTCGCCTTTATTGCTGTCAGGAGATCTTCCTTAGCTATTCGCACCCGCACTTGTCCAGCTCTGCACTTGTCACCTGCACCCCCAGCCTTCCGTGACTTGGTCCATTCTGTCTCCTGACTTTTCTTAGCCGACATTTGAAATGTATGCACCCCCTTATGTTTTTATCATGCCATGCGTTTCTTAGACGCCTGGCATTTGTAGATTGAACATTTTCTGGTTCTGTAAGTAAAGGGGGCTCGGATACCTAGGCCTGTGAAGCTTTTCTGAGATACAAATTGTAATCACCTGAATTTTGAAGAGTGGCTGCGTGAATGTGTGAGGGTTGGGCTGTGGTGGAGGTGCTAATGAGTAACTCAGTTAAGGAGTGCCTAGCTGACCATTCCTTACTCAAAAGTCAAACCAGCTGCTGTGTTGCACTTTGATAATGTAAGCCTTTTGAAGGGAATGTATATGCAATCATATATTTTGGAATTTTAGAAGGTTCCCAGAAACATAAGATTCCATTGGTCTTGTCTGTGTAATATGGTTATATGCTCCTCAAAGGCAGGAAACTTCTCTTTTCCTTCTTAGTGCCCAACAGACTTCTGGGGGAAGGCATGCTTATTAACTTATTACATTAGTTAGTGAAGCCAGAAGTTGTCGTAATGTAAATAAGGTAAAGAAAGAAATATTCTTTTCAATAAAGCAAAATGTGTTATCTTACTCTGCTAGACTCAACATATATTTTAAGAGTAAGCATAAATTTACCATGGTTCTCTGATGGGGTTTGCCATTTTAACTTAGAATAGTATGTGAAATATACTTTTAAATGTAGAATAAATGAAAACTTTAAACATTTTTTAAAAAATTAAGTGAAACAGGAGTATGCAATATAAAATTGTACAAGCCTCACATAGGAAGACAGAATATATTAAATATCTTAGTGGGAAATCAATAATTAAATATATAATTTCCCCCACTATAATTTAGAATGGTCTAGACATTGTACTTTGTGTCTAGTGTGTGGAAATGTCTTGATGATGAATTCACTTAATACCTACATGTATTATCTTATGTTCTTGCAGTTAATTGAATGAACACATTTAGTCAACATTAGCCATGAAGTTACAGGACATAGTATGATTAAATCATGTTGTATTCCTAATTCCTGCTAAGTATGAGATATATTTGAATTTTTGTAATGATATTACCTAGATTCGAAAGTTTACTGTAATCCTTCCGCAAGGTTTTTAAGACATCATCATGAGGTAAGCCTGCCACCTGCTGGTCAAGATTTGTCACTTCATTTTACATTTTAAATAAATTTGGCATTTTTCATTACAACATAGTAGTGTAATACAATATGAAGCAATTCTGCATACCAACTTTTGAGATTTCCTAGGTTGTCACAAATTATTGAAGCCTGTACATTCTGACAGTTGTCATCCCCACGAGGCTTTCATGTTGATTCTTCCCTCTTGATGACCATTGATAATAAATCTACAGCGGTCTATTTCTGAGTCTTTGACATAATCTGAGTTCGATTCTGGCTTCTTTCTCTTGAGCCATTGTGTGCCAAGAATCTAGCTATAGGTGAGAGGTCCCTAAATGCTGAAAACCTCCTGCAGAATTGCACTCCTCTGCCTCTTCTTTTTCTGATCACTCTTGCACAAACGTACTGGTAATGCTTCTGTGTTGCCTTGTGGGACCCCAGCCTGCAGCTGCCCCCATTCATCTGGCTGGCCCTGAGCCGGCCTTGGGGTCATTCATCACTTAGGCCATCCAGAAACTCGGTTTCCTCATTTGTAAAATAGGGCTAATAATTCTGCTTCCAGTTGTTTTGAGCATTAAATTAGGTGAAAGCATTAAATTAGTGAAAAGCACTTAGCTTCATCATTATTATTCATTAACCTGGTAAGATTTTACTGTATGTCTATTATCAGTAGTTAGGAGATTCACCAAGATTTAACACTATGACTTTTCACCTCAGCTATATTGTCATATTCATTTTTTTATCCTTGTTTTCTTCCCTTTTGTACTTTGAAGACCCCCTTCTTTGGCAGATGGACTTTGCAACCCCAGGGACTAGAAATTGAGCACATCACCATTACCATGACAGAAATCATCTGGAGGCTGGAGAGAAATGCCCCCGTGGGCCCTCCAAACATTTGAAGATTCTCTAGCTTTACTTGTATGTTAATTAGTCTGCATTCATTAAACCTAACTTTGTATTTGCTAGAAAGAGGGGATAATCATTATGACTACTTCAGTAAAGGAGAGCAAGTGAGGTAATTAGTTCAATAAATGTTAATTAAGTGCTTCTGGGTACAGAGGATCAGAAGCAGTTCACAAAAATCTCTCGGCGTTTTAATTCCAGTAACAGGTTAACACTCTTTATAAAATGTCACATTTGGATTTCCCAAGGATTCTTTTTTACCTTTTTAGGTCTTACAGGCTTCAAGTGCCTGACATTTCTCATCTTTCCCTTCTCTCCTCAGTAGAGTTGACAGGTGTATCTGTTAGACGGATCTTTGGCTCTCCTGCATAAACAGTGCTCACAGTATAAATTAAGCCCTTGGCAATCACGTTCATCTTTTTAAATGCAGTGTTTAGCAAGTTCCTACTACATGGGAAGTGTTCCATAAACATTTATTTTAATTATTGAAAAGAATTTTGAAGTTGTCAAGGTACTATTTAATTTGAAAATGCTCAGTAATTGGAGTTTGGGAACAACAGACAGCATGTGCATCATTTGATGGTGTTGGGGTGAAGAGAAGGTGGAGCAATGTCTGGGAACTGAGACTGACACCCAAGAACTTGTATGTGTCTACCGTTTGTTTTTCTTAGACCTGAGCCCCTTGGAACTCAGAGTCAGCCCCAGGCCACAGCAGGTTGGTAGTTGAAACAGAGAGATGAGATGTTGATAATAATTTTATTTTTATTTATTAGAGAAGGAGTGCATGTTCATTTCAGCTAATCAATAAAAAGATATAAGGGACAAAACCTCACCTGTAGTTACATGACCCAGAGATATTGCTTGCCCACCTCTTCATGTAAGTCACCAGGCTTTTTACAACGAACACAGCTGTGTGCAATTCTTTCCCTGTCATTCTTTCTAAAACCCACTCCAGTCAGGCTTAAAAAAAAAACCCTTCCACTTCACAGAACTGCTTTTGTCCAGGTCACCGGTGACCTCCACTTTATGTGATCCAGTGGGTCAGTTCTCAGCCGTCAGCTAAAAACTGACCTGTCAGCAGCACTTGGCACGGGTGGCCCATTCTCTCCTCCTTGCTGCTCTTTGTCTTCTGGCTTCCGGGGTGTGAGGCTGGCCTGGATGTTTCTGCTTCATTGGTTCCTCCTCAGCCGACATGGCCTCTTTTTTCCTGCAGCCTGTCCAGGTTGGTTTGCTTCAGGCTTGGTTCTTGAACTTTTCTCTCTCTTCATTCGGTGATCATTCAAGCTCAAGATTTAAATGCTGTCATTTGCTGATGACCCCCAAATCTCATCTCCAGCCCCAACTTCCCCACCAAATTCCAGACTGACATTTCCAACTGCCCACTGCCCATCTCCATTTGCATGTTTTATCTGTCAGGAAAACAGAAGACTGCATGCTGATTATGAATTGGAAGTTTAAATGATGGTTAGAAGGCCATTGGTTAGAAGAAAGGACAAAAAATTGTCACTTGTGTTTCAGCCTGCAGCAAGCACAGGTCTGGAAGCTATCACAGATTTCAGGATCCTCCCACCAGCTCCTTCAGGCAACAGTCAGTAAAGTCCTGAAGCTACTGTGAATAACAAGCACCTATCCCCAGGTGAGCATTTTTCAGAAAGCTCAAACAGAAGCCACTTGGAACATCTCTCATTGGCTAACTGATGGAGAAGGGGATTCTGGGAAGTGTAGTCCTGGCTTCTGGGCAGATACTTCAGAGGGTGCCAGTGATGATAATTTGAAAATTATCTAGCACAAATGTTTGGTAAACGGCTCAAAAATAACACATCCAAAGCTAAATTCCAATTCTTTCTTTTCAAACCAGCCTTCATCCTCTGCTTTCATTTTTGTTATTGTCAACTCCATCTCCCAGTTGCTTAGACCCCAAACTTTGTTTTTTTTTTTTTTTTTTTTTAAGATTTTATTTATTTGCTAGAGAGAGAATGAGAGACAGAGAGCATGAGAGGGAGGAGGGTCAGAGGGAGAAGCAGACTCCCTGCTGAGCAGGGAGCCTGATGGGGGACTCGATCCTGGGACTCCGGGATCATGACCTGAGCCGAAGGCAGTTGCTTAACCAACTGAGCCACCCAGGCGCCCCAAACTTTGGTTTTTGATTCCTGTCTTCACACCTCACATTCAGTCCATTAGGAAATCCTGTTGGCTCCGTCTTTGGAAATATGGGCACTAGCTTCTCCTAGCCGCCTATTCTGCTCGTTCTTGGGTCTTAACCACCGTCCTCTCTTGCCTGGATTACTGCACTAACCTTTAAACAGCCTCTCTACTCCCCCCTAGTTCAGCAGCCAGAGCCATCCTCTCAAACAGGAGATCATCTCTCTCTTTGGTGACATTCCTGCAATGGCCCCCATCCCTCATGGAGTGAAAGCTGAAGTTCCCACAATGGCAGCAGGGACTATGGCTGCCACAGCCTCCTCTCCTAATGTACTCCCTCTTGTTTGCTTTGCTGCATCCACACTGGTCTCCTCACTGTTCCTTGACAGGAAAGGCTACAACATGCTTCGGGGGCTTGCTGCTCTGTCAGATACCCGCTTGGCTAATGCTCTGGTTGTAGTATCCAGATAATCCTTCTCCAAAGATTAGGCTAAGCTCCCTATTTAAAACTGCAGCATGGGGGTGCCCTAGGTGTCTCAGTCGGTTGAGCATCAACTCTTGGTTTTGGCTGGGGTGATGATCTCACAGGAGGAGCCCCACATTGGCTTCACGCTCACCAAAGAGTCTGCTTGGGATTCTCTCTTTCCCTCTGTCCCTCCCCACTGCTTGCATTCTCTCTCTCTCTCTAATAAATAAATCTTAAAAAAACAACAACTGCAGCATGCCTTTCCCCAGCACTCTTAAATCCTCATCTACCAACCCCCTGCACCCCCCTGCCCATGGCCCTTTTTGCCTTCTAACATACTGTAAAATGTTCTTATTTATTATGTTTATTACTTATGGCCAGTCTCCCATGCTGGAATGTAAGCTCCACAATAATGGGGATTTTTATTCACTGGTATCACAAACCCTTAGAACTGTGCCTAGAAATATGGGCACATTTAATATTGGTTTTATATATATATTTATATATATATATATATTAATTACATATAAGGGTATATCCTTTTGTCAAGCAAAAACAGCAAGATCATGTTGTATAAACTGTTCTATAAAACTTTTTGCATAATATTTCTTGAAGATTTTTCTATGTCAATAGATATATAGCCCAAATACTTTTTTTTATCTACATTGTTTGCCACTGTCTGGCAATTTTCATTAGTTTGTTTAATTAATTATGTTTTTTTTTCTTAAAGATTTTATTTATTTATTTGACACAGAGAGAGAGACAGTGACAGAGGGAAGCAGGGGGAGTGGGAGAGGGAGAAGCAGGCTTCCCGCTGAGCAGGGGGCCCGATGTGGGGCTCGATCCCAGGACCCTGGGATCATGACCTGAGCCGAAGCAGACGCCCAATGACTAAGCCACCCAGGCGCCCCTAATTTATGTTTTTTAAAAAATATTTATTTATTTATTTTAGAGAGAGTGAGCATGCAGGGGGGAGGAGCAGAGGGAGGGGGAGAGAGAATCTCCAGCAGACTCCCTGCTGAGCACAGAGCCGGACGCCCATGCCAGAGTTGATCTCATGACCCTGAGATTATGACCTGAGCTGAAATTAAGAGTTGGATGCTTAACCGACTGGAGCCACCCAGGCACCCCTTAATTAATGTGTTAATGGTAACATCTTTTTTAAAAAGCTTTATTGAGATGTAATTCACATACCATAAAATTTATCCATTTAAAGTGGATCCAGTGCCAACACATATTTATTGAGAGCATGCTGTCTGCCCCACAGTGATACACTCTGAGGATATAGCTGTGAAGAAAATGGGCATAGTTTCTGTCCTCACAGAGATTGTGGTCTGGGAAGAGAAGAGGACAGGCATATATTAACTAAGCACTGCACAAATATTACTTACTATTGTGGTGAGTGCTACAGAATCAGAGAGATAGGGTGCTATATGAGTCACTAGCAGAATGCCCTAATCTCACCTTGGGGGTCAGGGCAGTGTTCTCTCAGAAAGTGGAATTTAAGCTGAGCCTATAGGATGAGTAGGAATTAGGCAAGTGAAGGAAGTAGGGCCAAGTAGGGGCACTAGAAGGAAGGTTGTTATGACTAGACCTCTAGGCTGTTTCATTCTTTCATGAGTAGATGCGGTGATGAGATCTTTAAAATACTTCCTTATGGTAAATTCTTAGAACTAAAATTGCTAGGTCAAAATATATGCAGGTTTGCCCTGTCTTCTTCCCATCCCTCCTTCCTTCTTCCTCTCTCAAAATTTTCCATGTATTATGTGGCTGGAAGGGTGGAAGTTTAGGTGTTTAGGAAATTCTAGGACCCCTGTTATTTTGCTGCTTCCTTCCCAAGATGGGGTTCAAGGAGTCTTGGAAAAGAAGACCCTGTGGCAGGTCTGTGAGTTGAGGGTGGCAGATGGTTGAAATGCCATAAGCATGGAGAGCCTCAAATGATCTGAACTTTCAAAGCAGTTTCCAATATGTCTGAAGTGTAGTAAGAAATGTTTTTATTTTCTCTTTATATAGTTTCTTCCTTAAACACAAAATTATTAAGACCTTCATTAAGTTCTGATTTTGATTGCTTTTTCAATGACTCTAATGAATACTTGGTTGTAGTATCCAGATAATCTAGCTATTTCAACACTAAGTGTTACTGAAATTATGACCATATTTCAAGTTAGTACTTAAATTTTCAATTTCAGTTATAAATTCCAAATAAAAGAAGATACAAAACAGCTTGCAAAATTAGTGAAATAAAATGGGAATAAAAAAATCTGAAAGCAGGAATAGGAAAGAAATGCAAATTAGACAAGTCAGGCTAATAAGATTAATAAATGAGTTACATATTCAAATCATGTGAGAGTAGGAATACTCTAATACTTATTTCACCTTAAATTCATTAGGTAGCCTCTTTACATTCAATTTCTATTGAAAAATTGTTTTGCTTCTCTCTTTCCTCAGGTATTTCCATGAATTTCCCTTTATTCATTTACTTCCCTTTAATGCTCTGTCGTCAGGGAGTTCTTTCTTGACTGTCCTAAGCAAAAGAGAAGGTCTTGTCTCCAGACTACTAAGTGATCTCCCGGCTTCTACCCTTGCTCCATTCCCATCTATTTTCCACGCTAGGGTCAGAGTGACCTTTTGAAAACCAAGCACAGCTTATGCTGTTCTCCTGATTAAAACCCCCTAATGGCTTCCCATTTCCATCAGAATAATTCAAACTCAAGGCCCTACCTAATCTTCTCCCCTCACCCTCCCATCCCTCTGACTTTTTTTTTTTTAAGATTTATTTATTTTACAGAGAGAGAAAGTGTGAGCAGGGGGAGGGGCAGAGGGTGAGGAAGAGAGAATCTCAAGCAGACTCCCCGCTGAGCACAGAGCCTGATGCAGGGCTTGATCCCAGGACCTTGTGACCTGAGCCAAAATCAAGAGTTGGCCGCCCAACCGACTGAGCCACCCAGGCGCCCCCTCTCTGACTTTTTATCTTTTACCACTTACCTCTTGTTAGGGGCTGAATTGTGTCCTGCTAAAATTCTTGTATTGAAGTCCCAACCCCCAGTACCTCAGAATGAGACTGTATTTGGAGATAAAGGGAATTATGTTAAAATGAGGTCATAAGATGGGCCCTGATCCAATATGACCAGTGTGACAGGTGTCCTTAGAAGAAGAAATTAGGGGCGCCTGGGTGGCTCGGATGGTTAAGCGTCTGCCTTCGGCTCAGGTCATGATCCCAGGGTCCTGGGATCGAGTCCCACATCGGGCTCCCGGCTCAGCGGGGAGCCTGCTTCTCCCTCTCACCCTCTCCCCTCTCATGCTGTTTCTGGCTCGCTTGCTCTCTAAAAAATAAATTAAAAAAAAAAAAAAAAGAAGAAATTAGGACACAGCCACATACAGAGAAAAGGCCAGGTGAAGACACAGGGAGAGGGTGACCATCTGTATGCCAAGGAGAGAAACCTCAGAAGAAACCAACCCTGCTGACACCTCAATATTGGACATTGCACTGTGAGACTATAAATTTCTCTTAAGCCACCAGTCTGCAGTACTTGGTCATGGCAGCCGAGCAGTCTAATGGACCTTGGTTTAGTCTTTAGCCTGTCTGAGGTCTTTATAGTTCTTCAGACAAATCAAGCGCTGTCCCTTCTCAGAGCTGTTGACCCTCTCAGCTCCCCCTGCAAGGAGTGCTTCTCACAGATACCTGCCTGGCCCATTGCAGTCTGCTTTCTGCTCAACTGTGACCTGTCCCAGCTTCACTGAGCCCTCTTTTATTTTTTTTATTTTTTTATTTTTTTTAAAATATTTTATTTATTTATTTGAGAGAGAGAGAATGAGAGAGAGCAAGCACATGAGAGGGGGGAGGGTCAGAGGGAGAAGCAGGCTCCCTGCCGAGCAGGAGCCCGATGCGGGACTCGATCCAGGGACTCCAGGATCATGACCTGAGCCGAAGGCAGTCGCTTAACCAACTGAGCCACCCAGGCGCCCCGAGCCCTCTTTTAAAAATAGCACCCCCACTCAATCATTACCTATCCTTCCATCCTGTAAGCACTTACCACTATGTAAAATACTTTATTACTCAATTTCTTTGTTGTCTGTCTTCCCTCACCAACCCTTGCCCTAATTGTAGGCTCTGTGTTTTGTTCACTGCTGTATGTTGAATGCCTGGAATAAGTCGACACTCAATAAATATTTGCTCACTGAATGAATAAAATGAATAAATGAAATTTTAAATCCTAAAGCATAAAAGTAGGGTAACTGTAAAGGCATGCTCATCAAGACACCTTTTTTAAAAATGGCATTCTCATAATTACCATTGGGTTCTGGAGAAAGGAGTTGTGATTTTTTATTTTGGGTAACTTAAAACCTTAATAAACACACATCACCAGTTAAAATTTCATTGATATTTGATTTTTATTAAGACTTTTAGATTCTCCAAAAAATGTAATTAAACCTACTTTTGCTAAAGTTAATAATTTCCACCCACTAGAGATTTAATTAGCATTTGAAAAGGAATGTGAAGATATATCATGCTGTGTAAGTATTATATGGAAAGCATTGAAGACTTTCTTACATGGAGGAGAGGAAATTGCTAAAGTTGACAAATATTCAAATTTAAATCAAAAGGAAACTATACCAAGTGACAACTTCCATTTTAGGCCAACTTGAAATACCCATATTGAGTACCACCAAGACCCAATGTGCCAGCCGCTTCCGTTCATTGTGGACCATGCTTGGTGACACCATGGTTTCCACACAGAAGCTCCATAAACTAATCCTAGGAAATTAAACCTATGTAATTTTTGACCAGATCCAAATTGACTATGGTGGTATGGATGTGACTTTCATTTTGATTTCCCTCCTTGCTGTCCCTAGATCTTTTTACCATTGCCTTTAGGAACCTCTGCTTATCCAACTGAAACAAAACTGTGACTAGTTTGCTTGAAGTATTAAAAATTATTATTTTTTTGATTATAAAAGTAAAGAGCCATGTGTTATAGAATATTTTGAAAATAAAGAAAAAAATTACCCGGTTGTTGCTTTTTTGGTAGATGTCTTCTCAGTTTTTACATAGTTGTAATTAGAGGATATGGACACTTTCATACCCTGAATTTTCATTCCGTATTATATATAATCATTTTACCATAATGCTTCATAAAATGAATGATAGTGCTTCATAATCGTGTTTTAGTGGTTGCCTAAAACTTAGTTAAGCAGATGAACCATAACTGACATAACTGTTTTCTTATCCTGAGACCTTCAGTCACAAAACCTCTCCCTCTACCCCTGGCTTTTTGCCGTTTTAAATTACAATTACTATCTTCATATTTTTTTTACTTTCTTCCATATTTTGGGTAATTGTTTACTATAAATGTCCGTAAGTGGGGTTCCTGGTGGGTGGGAAAGGGTTAACTCAGCAGCTCTGGGTCACTCAAACAAGGCACATTCCCAAGAAAGGGCCATTTTTGTGACTGGCCCCTGACTGGCTCATGGGAACTGAGCTCTTGGAATATTCTCAGTGATAAGTGTTTTGCATGTCGGGTCTTGAGCCACATGGTAACTATTTTTCTAGATAGTTTATACTAACAATGTGATTTACAGCGAGCACCTGATTTTCCCCTGTGGGTGTGCAGCTTCTACTGAGGTCCATCATTCAGGCACTGTATGTCTATGTGACTGACCTCCCCCCGCATAAAAACCCGGGGCAACCAGGCTCAGGAGAGCTTCCCTCGTTGACCACACTTTGCACTTGTCACACGTCATTGCTGAATGAATTAAGCATATCCGGTGTGACTCCGCTAGGAAGGGACTCTTAGAGGCTCATGCCTGCCTTCCTCCAGACTTTGTCCCAGGCACCTTTTCCCTTGGAGACTTTACTCATCTTTTTTGCTGCAATAAATGGCAACTGTGAATACAACAACTTCTGCATCCTCTGGGTCCTTTTAGGGAAGCATCAAGCCTGAAGGTGCTCTTGGAGACCCTGACGCCTGGCCTGGTTGGCATTCAGTTACAGAGAACAGGAACTCCTCTAGCTGGTTTAAGCAAAAAGTCTTTGTTATGTATTCTGTGGTTTCCAAAATTGTTGGAATGGGTGTTAAAGTAAATGGGGCTTCCAGAAACAACTTCTAGTCCCCGGATTTCACTTCTGTCAGAATCAGAAACCCCCCAAACCAAGAAGCTGCTTGCGATAAAATCCTGTTGCCCTTAGCTATGCCAGCAGAGTGGGTGCCTTGCATCTTGCCTTGCTGCCCTCTTAACTCCACTCTGAATCCAGGCATCTGAGTGGCAGAACTTAACTCACACCGGGAACCGTAGCTGCCAGGGCATCTGGAAATGCAGAAGGTCACGTGCACAGTGCTCAAAGCCACAAGAGGGAAGTTAGCATTTATGCCAAGTGAGCCGGTCCACAGTAGCTCACATCTTGCGTTAAAGGATATAAACATTTTAATGTTTCTTGATCTACACTGCCAAACGGCTTTCCCAAGAGGTTGGAAAAATTGACAGTGGCTCCAGCAGCAAGTCTTCTAGTGCTTTACAGTTTGAGGGGAAAGTAATCTCGCTGGATGGAAATAAACATTGAGTAATCAGGGGCAGCCTAATCATTCCTGTGCTCTTTCTCTACTTTGCTCTCACTCCGTTTTTCCCGGACGCAACAGATTCCTATAGACTGTGGTTAGGGGTAATCCCTTCCTTGAAAGCTGGGGATTATACATCAGTCTTAAGTCAACTACAGTGTGTTGGTGACTTAAAGACAAATGCAAGGCAGAACTTATATAGTGCTGGCTAAGAAGTTTTGATTACTTTTGGAACTCCTGAATAAAGTAAGCGGAAGGCTTACTTTTATAAATCTAATGTATACTTTCCTCTTTCTTCTTAGGGTAGTGGAATCATCAGGTTCATCTCAGTGTTCCTCCAGGCGCTGCGGCTTCCCAGGCTCACCTACGTAACTCCCACCGGTTGTCTTAAAAATCAGGACTTGGGCTTGGAGCCAGCTAATGTGAGCTCGGAGGTGAGATTTTTTTGCTCAAGAACTTTAGCTGTTGGAAGATGTGACATCTCATCCAGATGTTAAAAAAAATACTAACTATGGTGGGTACATTTATAAAGGCCTATCTCATTGTATTGTGCTTTGCTTTACTGTGCTTTGCAGATGATGTGTTTTTTTTTTTTTTTTTTTTTACAAATCGAAGGCTTATGGCAGGCAACCCTGTGTCAAGCAAGTCTATCAGCACCATTTTTCCAATAGCATTTGCTCACTTCATGTCTCTATGTCACGTTTTGGTCGTTCTTGCAATATTTTAAACTTTTCATTATCTGTTAATATCTGTGATTAGTGATTACTACTTGCTGAAAGCTCAAATGGTGGTATTTTTTTAGAAATATATATATTTTTTATTTAAATTCAATTAGCCAGTATGTAGTGCATTCTTAGTTTCAGATGTAGAGTTCAGGAATTCATCAGTTGTGAAAGAAAGTTTTTTTTTTAAATGAGATTTCATTTTTTTTTTTTTTTAAAGATTTTATTTATTTGACAGAGAGAGCGAGCGAGGGCAGGAACACAAGCAGGGGGAGTGAGACAGGGAGACGCAGGCTTCCTGTGGAGCATGGAGCCCGATGTGGGGCTCGATCCCAGGACCCTGGGATCATGACCTGAGCCGATGGCAGACGTTTAACAACTGAGCCACCCAGGCGCCCTGAAAGAAAGTATTTTTAAATTAAGGCATGTATGTTGCTTTTTAGACATAATTCTATCACACACTTGAGAGACTACAGTATAGTGTAAACATAACTTGTATATGCACTGGGAAATGAAAAAATTCATTTGACTTGTTTTATAGCGGTATTTGCTTTTTTGCAGTGGTCTGGAACCAAACCCACAGTATCTCTGAGGTATGCCTGTATACACAAAAGATGTCATAAACGACAAGGACTTCCTAATTCCTTAAAGGAACTTATAACTTTAACGATTACTGGATCTTGGAATACTGGTAGTTTGTTACACAGCAATAGAGAGCAAATACAGGGTATTTATGATACTCTGTCGTAATGAGATCTCATTCTTTTACATATAATAGGCACATGCATAGAAAAACATCTAAAAGGATGGATGCTAAATTCTGACAGCAGTTATCACTGGGGGTGAGATAACAAGTAGCTTTTACTTTACTGCTTACATGCTATTGTTTGAAGATTTTTTAGTGAGCATATATTACTTTAATAATCAGATAGGAAGAATAAAGATCTGAAAAGGTGAGAAAGAAAATCATTAGAAAGTATAGCCTAAGTACCTCAAAGGGGTGTAGCAGATTTAAATGATATAACTGATAAGAATGTGTTTTTGTGAATTGTGTGGTATTATGAAAATACAGTGTAGCACATTTTTCTAAGTCTCTGATTTCTTCCTTATATATAATTAATAGGTCTGGGGGTGCCTGGGTGGCTCAGTCGTTAAGCGTCTGCCTTTGGCTCAGGTCATGATCCTGGGGGTCCTGGGATGGAGCCCCACATAGGGCTCCCGACTCGGCGGGAAGCCTGCTTCTCCCTCTCCGACTCCCCCCTGCTTGTGTTTCCTCTCTCGCTATGTCTCTGTCAAATAAATAAAATCTTAAAAAAAGAAAAAAAAGGAATAGGTCTAATGCCTTTAGGTATGTGCTTAGTTTCAGAATTTTATTTTAAAGGGATTTCTGTGGTACAACACAATGTCTGTGGTACTCTTACTGAAAATCATTTATAATAGTCAAATTCTAACAATTTTTTGCAATAAGCTTTCATTAAATTTTCCTAAAAATAGAAAAAGTTCACATTATATACCATTTTGAATTTAATTTATTTTCTTACATTTTCAAAATAATTTATGGTAAAATGTTAGCTTCAAGGAAAATTTATGGGAAACCATAAAGCAACTGGAGTTCCTTACAATAAAATCCAGGATAAAAATACTTTTTGCAGGGTGAAAATTTATCAAAAGGTATAAGTGAATTATAAATTTGTCAATCTGATGAATTTAAGGGCACTTTAAAAGTTGTCTAGTTAAATTACTGCAGATATGACATGCTTATTGAAATCCAATCTGTAAGTCTAATGCCAATGATCATTTCTTCCTGCTAAAAGCTAAAAATAATTTATGTGAAAAACCCATGGGAGATTCTGATTTCTTCATAAAGAGTTTGATTTCTTCATAAAGATTCTTTAATAAGCTGGGCTAATCTCTGGAAGGCCTGAAATAGAAAAGAGACAAGAATTAATGAAATCAGGATGCTACTTAGGAAAAGTCTGTGATAATTTTAAAAAATTCAAACAGAGTATTCATCTTAGGTTGAGATAAGGCAATCAAAAGTCAAATTTAACATCAGCTTTATCTGGGTAGGATGCCATCAATGTTCACTAATATATGTAGATATAAGCATATCAGATTCCCAGGATTTCTGTTTGTTCTTATAGCCCTCAAGATCATTATTTTCCATTTTCCCCACAACACAAGTTATTCTTTCATATAATCTCCCACCTGTATATGCACTCTATATCATTTCAATTGCCTATTCATATGTAAAAGCAGAGGTAACTTATGTAAAGCATATTTAATGATATGAGAAAGCAACTAAATAAAGAACACCAAGAACCAATCCATCTGTGAGGGCAAGTACAGACTCTTCTCAAGGTTAATGGCATTGTTCAATTTATGACTCTTCTGTTTGGACTCCCAGACATGCAGTCCTTAGGAACTTGTTTCTTTGCTTCCTGTTATTTTGGCTGAACCCAGACTTGTAATTAATTTAAGAATGTTACTGTATTTGACCCTTGCTGATATATTTTTCTTCTGAGAAAGAGACTGATGGCTTTCATGAATTTGTACTGAATTTAGCTCATACTAATTCCATGAAGGAAGGAAAGAAGTTTTCTTCATAACATGCTAGTAATCTGCCAGCACGGTTCAGTAAGTCTGAAAACAGTTCACGAAGACGATGGAGTTTAACTCCAGCTTGGTCTCATGCCTTTGTCTATTTGTTGCCACTAAAGTGTGTCTTTTAATAGTAATTCATGACTTTTCAAGTGATATCTGTTTTTCAGAAACCCAAGAGGACATTAAATAATGTTATAACTCAAAAATGAACAAATGCACCAAAAAATAGAATTGATATCTGGTGTTACTCTGAAGAGAATATTGTACTCACCATATCCATCTGTTCTGGAGAAGCTGAAGAGAAGGACGCTCTAAAGTAAGGGCTAGGAGCTGAGCTATCAATGTAGAAGACATTTCCGGGAAGCATTAATATCTAAGAGAGTTTATGGAAAATAAGGGAGTTACTAAAATATAGGTAGATCCAATCTCAGAGAGGGGAAAGCCTTTTAATATTTAAAAACAATTAAAAAAATCATGAGAAAAACCATTTTATGGAAAAAGTCTGTATGTCCTACAATAACATAACTAAAAGCACAGAACCTGAAAAAATGTTTATAGTAAATATGGCAAATGCTACCTCTTTTCCATTTAAAGTATACACAGAAACCAAGAAGAAAAACACTCAAATTCCTGCTTTGACGGGCAAAGGACAGCTTATAAAAGAAATAGAAATGGTAACAAACATGAATAAATGGTTAACCAAGAAGTTATATAAATTCAAACAATGAGAGACCATTTTTAAGTTACCAAATTTGGAAGTGGCTTTTAAGCTGGGACTTGGATGATAAGTAGGTGATGGCCGAGCAAAAAGTGGGTGAAGAATATTAGGGAGAAGACAGTGTAAAGGCCTTGAGATGGGAAGAAGATTGGTGCAAAGAACTGAAAGGAGGTAGAAATTTTAATACATAAAGTGAATGAATAAAAATGTTATGTATGTCGGGCGCCTGGGTGGCTCAGTCGGTTGAGCGACTGCCTTCGGCTCGGGTCATGATCCCAGAGTCCCTGGATCGAGTCCCGCATCGGGCTCCCTGCTCGGCGGAGAGTCTGCTTCTCCCTCTGCCCTTCACCCTGCTCGTGCTCTCTCTCTCAAATAAATAAATAAAATCTTTAAAAAAAAAAAAAATGTTATGTATGTCAAGACGGAGTTGTGTGAACAACTGCTATTCTTGATGTGAGAGCACTGTGGCAGCTGCCTCACTAACTGCGACCTCCATTCCCTCTGTTTCCTGGGTGTACAAATATATTCTGTTGCCCAGGTTCTTTCTCGTTATGTGTGGCCATATGACCGAATCCTAGCCAATGGATGTGAAGTGATGCATGCCACTTCTAGGCCTTGCCCATAAAAATCTCCCCACGTGTGATCCATCATGCTCTTTCCATTTTGTAGCCATTGTGGAATCATCCATGTGTTGAAGTCTGAAGAGCAACAAGAAGGAAGGAAGTAGAGTCTCTGAATTGCTTGTTGGAGTAGAGGTGGCTTGCACATCACATCTTTGAAAGTTTTTTTTTTTTTTTTAAAGATTTTATTTATTTATTTGAGACAGAGAATGAGAGAGAGAGAGCACATGAGAGGGGGGAGGGTCAGAGGGAGAAGCAGGCTCCCTGCTGAGCAGGGAGCCCGATGTGGGACTCGATCCCGGGACTCCAGGATCATGACCTGAGCCGAAGGCAGTCGCTCAACCAACTGAGCCACCCAGGCGCCCCACATCTTTGAAAGTTTTATGTGAGTCAGAAATAAACTTCGATTGTGGTAGGTCTTTGAGATGTTATGTAGTACAATCATGCAATTCAAAAGCATTCATTGTTGTTATGTAGTATACATCTGGGCACTGCCTACTAAAGTAAAGTGAGTTGGGAGTGAAATGGTTTGGGGCACTCTGGGGAAGAGATTTCAAGGCAGAAGATGGGTTTCTGTCCTGATTAATAATCAAATGAAAACCATCATTTCTCCCAATATAGTGGAAAATACTGGGGGTGTATACTATAAGCGAGGAGCTGTAAGAGAAGGAGGGAGTAGTGATAATCTCTTTATAAGATGACCAGAACAACTGGGCTAAAGCTGTAGTTGTAAAGTTGGAGATTATTTAGAAAAAGAAAGGCTACATGCAGCAGGATATATGGGATAGATGGAGAGCACCAAAAAAACTATGAGAAAACCTGAGGTCTATGTCCTCAGCACCTACCTCAGAGATACATACAGATAGCCACTTATCAAATGATCCTGATGATAATGGCATTGACAGAAAGGCAAAGAAAACACAACATTGATTTATTATACTAAAATGTATTTCTTTGAAATAAGTCAGTATTTACTACGTACTTGCTGTGTAGAATTAGTAGGATTAGAACAATGAATAAAGCGTGAGTCCTGCCCTCAAGTAAGATGGTTAGAGAGGATGCATGACTCAAAGTCCAGGTAGTCAGCTCCCAGGTCTAACCTCTAGATAGCAATTTTCTAGCGTCCAAACCACCTCATCTCTTATGTACTAGCATGGTCCTGTGCTTGTATCAACACAATCTGTTCGCTCGTAATTATTGCTTCAAAACAAAAGCGATCCTAGAAACAGATCTTAGTATTTATAAAAGACTGGCAAATGTGCCAAAAGCATTAATTCAGGGAGAAAGGATAATTTATTGGGTAAATTGGACAGCTACACAGAAAAATATTTAGATTTTCCACCTTAATCAATGCCCCCAAATGATAAGTAAGTAGATTTAAGGACAAAAGGAGAAAAAAAAAAATCCTGGAAGAAATCCTTACAGGCCAATTTTAAGTGAAAATAACAGGATACAAACTTTTCTGTGTAATTTTAACCATGGAAAATAACTGCACAGCCAAAATACTACATGTAGATGAGCTCTTCAAGAAAATATACTACAAATGGCCACAAAATCGGGGTGGTGAAATGATGGGCTACTTAAACATTTTTCATTATACTGTTACGAATTTCCCAAGTTTGCTAGCATGCTTTACTTTCTTAAATCAGAGGGGAAAAGCCCTCTGCTCTTAGTCGTTAAACTAACCAGTAGCTGAGATGAACGGCTGTATTTCCATTAATGTAGACCAGAAGAAGAATTATGTAACTCAAAAATCTATTATGATTTTAACAACGAGACAATATTATTAGAAATATTAGATATAGAAATATCAGATAACATCTGATATTAAAATATTATGGGTTGGGATGGAGGGCAATGATAAACACCTCTCTTCATTTTTATTTTAAATGAAAAATCACTTTAAAGAAAAAGTATAACCCCCCCCCATTTTACCTCTTTCTTAATGGCTTTTTCTTCAATCAGTTGTTTTATATCAGAAATGCCCTTAATTTTAACCCATAAAAACATTCCAGCAGCAGGAACATGCCATTCTGCCAAACCTACAAACCAAGAAAGAGAATATCTGCTAAAGTCATTTTTGATGATATCAAATATATCAATTAATGACATAATCGCAGTAACTGTCAACTAGTATATCCAAAAAAGTTCCTTCGGGGATAGCATTTTTAAAACATAGAATTTAATGAGTCCTGAAAATTGAGGTTCTGAGTTTATTTCAAAAGTAAGAGAGTAGGGGCAGCACCTCGGTGGCTCAGTTGGTTAAGCGTCTGCTTTGGGCTCAGGTCATAATCTCAGGGTCCTGGGATGGAGCCTGATGTGGGGCTCAGCGGGAAGACTGCTTCTCCCTCTCCCACTCCCCCTGCTTGTGTTCCCTCTCTCACTTCTCTCTGTCAAATAAATAAATAAAATCTTTAAAAAAAATAAGAGACTGGGGTGAAGGGAGAGAGGGAGACTCAAGTATAAATTTCCAATATACTCAAGTATATATTTCCAATTCCAAATATATACTCAAGTATATATTTCCAATTCCCAAGTCAGTCTTAGGGTAGTGCAAGGCATCTAAGGCCTGTGTCTACTTCCCTTAGTGAGAACCATACCGAAGCCAACTATGGCTCTTTTAATTATAGGAGAAGATTTTTCGACTCCTTCTAGATTCTTCCAGTGCTTCAATAAATTCTGTCATTTATACAATAGTTTTGAAGTCCAGTGGATTAGAGTTTTTATCAGAATGTAATAGATTATGAAAAGAAGTACTGAAAATTCAAGAGTTCCAGAAGTATTGGTAGGCTTTATGTTTCATTGAGTATTAGGATAGAGAAACCAAGAAGGAAGGACAATTATTTTGATTTTAATTATCTTTTAAAACTTGCTATTGATTAGAACCTGTTATTTTTTTAAAGATTTTATTTATTTATTTGACAGAGAGAGAGCACAAGCAAGGGGAGCATCAGGCAGAAGGAGCGGGAGCAGCAGACTCCCCGCTGAGCAGAGAGCCCGAGGCGGGACTCCATTCCAGGACCCTGGGATCATGACCTGAGCTGAAGGCAGATGCTTAACCAACTGAGCCACCCAGGCGCCCCTAGAACCTGTTCTTTAACTCCACTGTACAAAGTGGTAGAATAGTACTCTTATTAAAAAGAATTCTATATTTACCAGAAATTTATAGGGAACAAGATATGACAGAAATAAGGAACTGATTTTTTTGTTTACCATTATTCACCCCAAAAGCTTTTTCTTTTCTTTTTTTTAAGATTTTATTTATTTATTTGACAGCGAGAGAGGGAATACAAGCAGGGGCAGCGGGAGAAGGAAAAGCAGGCGCTCCACTGAGCAGGGAGCCTGATGCTGGGCTCGATCCCAGGACGCTGGGAACATGACCTGAGCCGAAGGCAGATGCTTAACAACTGAGCCACCCAAGCGCCTCACCCCAAAAGCTTTTTTAATGATATAATTAAAACCACATAATTCATTAATAGAAAATTAAATCTAAATCATCCTGCAATCAAATTAGCAATAGGTATTATTAGAGAGATAAATCATGATAATGATTAGAATGCAAGTAATGTGTAATGAGAGAACTGCCTTAGATTGTATTATTTTGTTTTTATATGGTCTAATTAGAAAAGGAGCATACTGTTTGACAATTCCTCTGCTGTTTGGGGGAAATTCTGAAGTAACTCTAAAATCTTTTGAGTATAGCCATCATTTGGCTTTAAGTTATTGCTAGCTGATTTTCAGGGTCCTGGGATCGAGCCCCGCTTTGGGCATCGGGTTCCCTGCTCCATGGGAAGCCTGCTTCTCCCTCTCCCAGTCCCCCTGCTTGTGTTCCCTCTCTCGCTGTCTCTCTCCTGTCAAATAAATAAATAAATAAATCTTAAAAAAAAAATAAAAGGTCTTTTCCCCCCCTTTAAGCCACAAATTCTTTGCAGCGGACAGGTAAAGCAGAGATAGATAGAACAGTGCCAGGGTTTGTAGACTGTTACTTCTGAGATTGCTTATAGGGTCACATTACCTGACAAGAATACTCCTGGACTCTTGTTTCTCATCTCCCAATATTATTAACAATAACTGTGCAGTGTTACCCGCCACCCCCCCGCCCCATGAAAGTGCTGGTGTCTGTCACAGGGCAGGATGATGCTCCACTCACCACTTAGCCATTTGTCTGCAGCTGCCAGTAATGCATCCCTCTGGTTCCTATAGAAATCAGTAACCCTAGAAGAAGAACACAACGAAAGGCATGCATTTGGTTCACTGACTGAAGAAACCAGGAGTCCAGTCTATAAGAATCTGTTTTCTAGGGGCGCCTGGGTGGCTCAGATGGTTGAGCGTCTGCCTTCGGCTTGGGTCATGATCCCAGGGTCCTGGGATCGAGTCCCACATCGGGCTCCCGGCTCAGCGGGGAGCGTGCTTCTCCCTCTGACCCTCTCCCCTCTCATGCTGTTTCTCTCTCGCTCGCTCTCTAAAAAATAAATAAAATCTTAAAAAAAAAAAAAAAAATCTGTTTTCTATCTTGATTAAAATGTGGAATGCTTGAAAAAGGAATAGAGCATGTTTATTTGACCTGTCTGGTGGCAAACTTTTGACCATTGTTTTTTTCCTTTATTTTGGAATAATTCCAATGAAAATTAATAAAATTAATAAAGGGAAGCCTATTTCTATGTAAAATATGGAAGCTAACATGCAATACCTCTCTACATGAGCCAGGAAACCCTCTTCTCCCCATTGGTGTAGAAGCTGTGATACCAGAAGCTAGAAGAGATAAGACACAATAACACACGTCATGGTTCACCCTCTAAAATGTTTTTTTTTCTTTTCGAAGCATAAAAAGCAAATCACTCTTGATTACCTGTAAACCACCACAAGAAAATATAACAAGCTGAACCAAGATTTACAGTGATTTATAATAAATGTTAATAACAATGACAATAAAATAACAAATACTTATGTAGTACTTGCTATGTGCCAGAAACTACTGTAATATATTAATATATTTTAGATAATTTAATCTTTGTAATAACCTAATTAGGCTATCATTTCTATTTTACTGATGAGGAAACCAAGGCACAAGGGTTAAATGAACTTTCCCAAGGTCACCCTGTCAGTGAGACAGAGAGCCTGGATTCAAGTTAGACTGTCTAGCTCCAGATCCATGCCATTAGTTACCATACTATATCGCTTCTCTAAATTTATTAAAAAATGCATAGTAGATATATGCTGTATAATATTTTCAGTGATTTTTCTATATAAAATGGAAGTTCTAAATGTTATAAATGGATAATGAAGTTTTGTTGGTAACAGACACAAAAAATATGGGAAAAAACCCCCAACTTGATAAAACATGGGGACATCTGTACGCTGCAAAGTATCACTAGGTTAATTCAGTTCTCATCTGCCTTTTACAGTAAACATCTGCGGCATCTGATCTCGAGATTATGTATCAGTGATTTCCCTCCCTGCCACCTTCACTCAGGCTTACTTGCTAACATCTATTTTCTATTCTGATTGCTTTAAAAAAAAACCCAAACCCTCCTATTTCTGACATTGTCCTTACCTGTGTAAAAGTGCTGGGGTGCAAGGTTGAAACTTGTGTGTGTAAGACAACTCTCTCTATCAAGGCTTTTGGACCGGTTAAAAACCCTATTCTCAACCTACACAAAAAGAGAAAAGGCCTGGGTTAACAATGAATACATGTCACCATACTGATTTCATTAGGAAGGCAGTTGTGACCTGGGGACCTAGACGATTAAAACACTCTACTAAAACTAGCTACTTGTTATTTAAAATTCAAATTTAAGTGTACATTTAAAATAGAATGCAAGTCTAAGTATTCGAAATGTGTTCTTTCATATATGAAACCCAAAACCTGACCAGTCCCATTCCAACTTTAGATTAATGCCCAAATACCTTTGATTACTGGAGATGAATAAAGAAAAGGCATATATTACTACTAATAATCAAACTGATGTTTTAAGGTAAGTAGGAATACTAGCATCTTAAATGAGAATTATTTGGACTAAAGGACACTCAGGTACAGCCTATCTTTTTTAGATCTGGCCGTAAATTAAGACACAAGGCCTTACCCAGAGGAGAGGACTTTTGAAAAAGAGTCAGCTCTGATGACACGCCCATCAATGTCCATGGAAAGAAATGTTGGTGCCCAGGACTTGAAATGGAAAAAACACATACTGTTGGTTTCAGAACTCTGTTTAGTGAATGTATAATTATTTTGTGTAGGGAATGGAAAGGGCATAGATTCCGATAGCAGTAACACAACCATCTTCTCTGTTACCTTAGTCTCAACCCTTAAAATGGAATAAGAAACCGAGATGCATGATCTTTTATGAGTACTGGCCTAGCTTCACAGCTTTTCTGCCAAAAACATACAGAAGAATTTACTCATTTGCTTAAGATGCTATTATTATGAATTTAGGGAAACCTCAAATGGGCCCTCCAAGGCTCAAAGGTTGAGATCCAGGATTAATAGATTTAGAGGAAGGGTTCAAGAAAAACTCATTTGGATTAGATCAAAATGAAGAGGGCCTGCAGCATTCAGGATTGTTTTGAGAGAGAATGCTGATCCTTAGAACAGCTAGAAAGACAAAACAAGATGAGGAATGTAGTCAATCTGCAGTATGGACCTCAATATTTCCTTCAAAAGGAGATGCACAGAAGAAAAGAGGCCAGGTCGTGCGGAGGGTAGGGAGTAGGTAGGTAGACGTGATATTCAGCAAACTATACAGAAAAATCAAGAATTTTTGTTTCTTTTCAGTAGATTTAAAGGAAGCATTGAATCCAAGTAGATGTTCTCAGCAGCTCCGAGAGCAAATAAAGAAAGTGTTTGATTTTGAAGAATCAGGCATTGGGAGTCTGTACCACTGCTAATGTCTATTGGGAGACGGTGATCGTGGAAAGTGGCATGCATATATAGTGAAAAGGAACCTAAAAATCCCTTATTCTGCAGGTAAGATCCAGGCCTTCAATGACAGGGATGGTAAATAGGTGGCATTCTGCCAGTACTGCTTTCCCCTATGTCTGTAATGGACACCGCTAACTGAGCACGACCGTCTTCCTCTTTCAGATCCTTCTCAGACATCACTCCAGCCAGCCATTGCCAAGAGATTATAGCTGACACCTACTTCACATCCCTGGTATGATGTTTAAAAAACTATGAACTAGGATCTGAAGTTCAAGAAGACCATCAGCCCCCGACTCACTCTGTTTGTCCAAATGCATGGTATAGAGCACTAGCTCCTATTTTAAAGGTAAGTCATTTCTGGAAAAAGCAGTAATACCAGACATGAGAAGTATTAATTCCATGATAAAACTGAAAGACTAAAGATTGAAGTGGTAGCAAATTACTACTAATTTTATATAATTTCAATGTAAAGATAGATTAGCTCTGACTCAGCAGCCAGGTTAAAGTCAAGTCAGTGTAATCACTTACAATTTATCTTCTAATTGTGAAATAAGTTCACATCATCACTTACCTTGCTGAACTGGAGAAAATAGTAAGGATCATCTTCTATGATGAGGAAATCATATTTTCTTGCGAGCTAAAAAAAGGTTAAAGTAGCATATTTAATTCTTAAGAACTATCTAAGCTGAAAATCACTTGGAATCATAATTCTTTGTATTCATTTATTCATCCAAGAAACTACTGAGTGCCTCTTTCCTAGACAATGAGGATACAGAGATGAACAAGGCACTCACTGAAGGCTCTTGTTCTCATGGAACTTACATTCTAGGTTCTGAAAGACAATATACATAAGCCAATGGATAATGAAGAGAAGAAATATAAGCAGGAGGTTTTAGGGGCTAGGCAGGGTGATAAACAGGGTGATATCTGAGGGGGAGAGAGAGAGAAAGAGGGTAGCTGTTTCAGGCTGAATCATTGGGAAGCCCTCCCTGACAAGATAACACAAGTGCTCAGCATGACAAAGTGGCCTGCAGCAAGAAGGAGGTAAGAGACAATAAGGCCTGAGACTAGACTACCAGGTCACATAGCTTTGTGAGGCAGATGAAGGAATTTGGATTTTATTTTAATTGAAAAGGGAAGCCACTAGAGGATTGTAAACAGGAGGACCACGAGACTGGCTTTACATTTATATTTCAGAGGAGGGAGGGAAGGACATGACTGGCTGCTGTGTGAAGAATGATTGGTTGGATTTCGAGAGTGGAATGCAGCAAGGGTCCAGCATGGAAACTATCCTAGTAGACCAGTGAGGAAGGTGGTGGCTGGGAAGATGGTGACAGTAAGCGCAGAGGAGAGAAACTGGTGGATTTGGATCCATTTGGTAGTGGAGTCCACAGGATGGGTTGGATGTAGGGGGTGAAGGGGGAGAGAAGGGAAAGAGAGGAATAAAGGGTGACTGTTCATAGTGGCACTATTTACAGTGATAGAGAATGTGAGGGGTTGTGGATTGGAGGTTGGGTGTGGCTGGACTAAATCAAGAGTTCCATTTGGCCATGGTAGGTTGGAAATGCCCATTAGACATTCATGGTGGATGCTGGAAACAGAAGTTGGATGGAGGAGTTGGAAACAGAAGTGCGGAGTTCAGGGGAAATTTAGAATGGAATTTATAGCCATACAACTGGATGAGACTATCTGGGGGTAGTATGTAAATAAGAGGAGAACTCCGGACAGAACTCTGAAGTATGTGAAAAATAAGACAATATTTTGACACATACACACATAAATAAGTGAAAGAAACTGTTTGAAATCTTTCTTTATGATTCCACTACACATTCTATATAGTTTAATATGGCTTTGGTACTTATATTAAAAAGCTATTTGTAGCAAAAGTCTATGGAGCACAGTCAGGTACATAAAAGAGACTTTACAAAAGGCACATTTCTCTCTTATTTTTCAAAGATTTTTGTGCTGCTATGTATGTGTTTGATATTAAAAAAAAAATGGTAATAGTGAAAAGTTTAGACATCGTAGTCAGGTACCTAAAAGAGACTTGACAAAAGGAGCATGCCTCTTATTTTTAAAGAATTTCTTTGTAACCTGAAATGCGAAGGAGTAGGAAAGAGAAGAGAGAAGTTGAAAATATAAATATAAATAATGAAAATCAAACGGGGTTTGATTAAATAACCTCATAAAATTTAACATTAGGTAAAAAATGCTATTTTTTTAATGAAAATATCAATTAAAGGAAAAGAAAAATCTCATAGTTAACTAAGGATAATTTCTTATGTTACAATTTATTAGGACCCTCGGGCATAGATGACTTCCTTTTATTAAAAACTATCTTCCTTGTAATAATAAGAAATAAGAAAGGGAGCTTTCAACTCAAAAGTCAAATAAACAAGAACACTGCCACAGAACACATTCTTTTAAAATACCTCATAGATTTCCTCCTTGCGATTACTTGTTAATGAGTTTCCAGTAGGGTTGTTGCCATTTGGGACAGTGTAAAGAAACTTGGGGGTGTTTTTCTTGGGGTTCTTTGAGTTTTCTGGTTTCCATTTGGAAAGTACTTCTTTGAGGGAGTCCGGAATAATCCCATATTCATCACTGGCAACATTAATGATGTTGCAGCCCAGTGGCTTCAGCTGTTGAGCACAAATAAAAAGAAAAGCCCAAGATTCAGACATGATCACAAAATGTGTCATTGGTTCTTCTTCTACTAACCAAGAATGTTACCATTTATACCCTTAAACATAGAAACCTGCACTCATCTCTACACTCCAAGGGTTGAGTGTATATTCTCATTTTATTGTTGCCCTGGGGTAGATTCCATTATTGTTCAGAAATATGCCCTGTCAGTTCTCAGAGGAAAGAGTATATGCTTCCTTGCTCATATATGTCAGGATTGGCAATATTGTCTTGCTTTGGCCGGTGAACTGCAAGCAGAAGTGATGCGTGTTTTGTTCAAACAGAAGCTTTAAAATCCAGCTTGTGGCTCTCCATTTCCTGTCTCCCTTCGCTCTAAGACTGGCAATGCTCCAGGTAGAGGCTGCTTCTCTCAGCTTGGGGCTTGGGATGGAGATGGCCCGGAACAGAGAAGCTGTGTGGTCGATACGTGGAGTGTGAGAGCAAGAAACTTTCTAGCCGTAAGCCGTGGAGATTGGGGTGGGTTGTTATACTGCATAACCTGGCCTCTTCAGACTGAATTAGCTTTAGAATTAGAATTAGAACTGGTTCAAAAAGTACATGTTCGTTAATGAACGCTTCTCTTGACAAAGTTAAACACAGAAAGCATCTTTTATGCTAATACCTAAAATGGTTACAAGCTGAGGTGATCTTCAAAATATTTAACAGGTGGTAGAACACGGGTACATCAGAAACAGCACCTGACTGGAATAGAGTCCTGGGGGCCCCCTGCATTAATTCTGTATCATGGGAAGTTCCGGGTGGTCTTAGGAGAGGGGCCAGGGGGACCAGGGTGGTGATGGGCATGGAGGGGAACAGGGCAGCAGCTTAGCAAGGAGTATGGAGGTAGTCTGTATTTACCAAAGGCTAAGCCTGAAATCACAAGCAGTGGCCTTGCTTATAGACATAATTTTATAAAAATCTTGGCGAATCTTTTTTTTTTTTTTAAAGATTTTATTTATTTATTTGACAGAGAGACACAGCCAGAGAAGGAACACAAGCAGGGGGAGTGGGAGAGGGAGAAGCAGGCCTCCCACGGAGCAGGGAGCCCGATGCGGGGCTCGATCCCAGGACCCTGGGATCATGACCTGAGCCAAAGGCAGACACTTAAGGACGCTTAACGAGCCACCCAGGCACCCAAAATCTTGGGGAATCTTATTCTTGGATGAACATAAAGAAAAAAATTGGAACTTTAGAAATAACAATAATTTGAGTGAGGGTCTCAGAAGAAAAATTTTTCAAAGGATAAGCACACCCTCTTTTAGCAAATGTGGAATTATGTACTAGGTGGGAATAATCCAGACAAATTTATGACAAATTTAAAAGTTCTTAGGCTGAAAAAGCACATCTACCACGAATAAACAAATTAATATTGGGCCATGAAATAAACACATATTGCTTACTAGCAAATCTCATAGCCTGACACATAGTTTCTGTTTGGGTATGTGGAAACATTTGTGCATGTGTGCATGATGCCGATTACACAGACACTGGTTTTAGATTCGTAGGCATTATACAAAGAGTTTAGTAAATAATTATTAATTAGTATCCAATCATTAAGAAAAAGCAATTATTTTACTTTAGTTTTTTATTGTGGTAAATAGATATATAACAAAAATTTTGCCTTTTTCTTAAAAGATTTTATTTGAGCGAGAGCACGAGACGGGGGCGGTGGGGGGGGGGGGGAGGAGAAGCAGACTCCCCGCTGAGCACTGAGCAGGGAGCCCCATGCAGGGCTTGATTCCAGGACCCCAGGATCATGACCTGAGCCAAAGGCAGATGCTTAATTGACTGAGCCACCCAGAGGCCCCCCCACATTTTCCCATTTTTAACTGTACAACTCATGGCATTAATCACATTCATAATGTGTGCATCCATCATTGCTGATTTCCAAAACCTTTCATTACCCCAAACAGAAACTCTGTACCCATTAAGCAATAACTATCCATTCCTCCATATCCCCAGGCCCTGATAACCTCTAACTTACTTTCTGTCTCTGTGAATCTGCCTATTTTAGATATAAGAAACAAATAAATGGAGTAATAGAATATTTGTCCTTTTGTGTCTGGCTTCTTTCAGTTGGCATAATGTTTTCAACATTATGTAGCATGTGTTAAAACTTTGTTCCTTTTGGGCGCCTGGGTGGCTCAGTTGGTTAAGTGACTGCCTTGGGCTCAGGTCATGATCCCGGGGTCCTGGGATCGAGCCCCGCATCAGGCTCCTTGCTCTGCGGGGAAGCCTGCTTCTCCCTCTCCCACTCCCCCTGCTTGTGTTCCCTCTCTCGCTGTGTCTCTCTCTGTCAAATAAATAAATAAAATCTTTAAAAAAAAACAACAACAAAAAAACAAACTTTGTTCCTTTTTATGGCTGAATAATATTCCATCATATGTATATGCCACATTTTGTTTATCCATTCATCTGTAGATGTACACTTGAGTTGCTTCCACCTTTTGGCTATTATGAATAATGCTGCAGTGAACATTTGTGTACAATTATCTGTTTGAGCTCCAGTTTTCAATTCTTTTTGGGTATATACTTGGAGTTGAATTAATGAGTCACATGGTAATTCTATGGTTGTTTTGAGAAACTGACAAACTGTTTTCCACAGTGGCTGTACCATTTTATATTTCCACTAGCAATGTACAAGATTCAATAACACTTATTATTTTACATGAAAAAAATAGGTATTGTAGTAGGTATAAAGGAGTATCTCATTGTATTTTTGATTTGCATTTCTCTAATGACTAATGATGATATTGAGCATCTTTTCATGTGCTTAGTGGCTGCTTGCATATCTTCTTTGGAGAATTTTCTATTCAAGTCCTTTATCCATTTTTAAATTAGATTGTTGTTGTTGTTGTTGTTGTTACTGAGTTGTAGGTCTTTATATATTCTGGATATTAAGTCCTTATCAGATATATGATTTGCAAATATTTTCTCCCATTCTGCAGGCTGTCTTCACTTCCTTCATAATGTCCTTCAAGGCACACAAGTTTTTAATTTTTGATGACGTCCAATTTATTTATTTATTTTTCTTTTTGCCTGTGTTTTTGGTGTCGTATCTAAGAATTTAGTGCCATACCCAAGGTCATGAAGATTTGCCTTTATGTTTTCTTCTAAGATTTTATAGTTTTAGCTCTTACATTTAGGTCTTTGATCCATTTTGAGTTAAACTTTTATATGGTCCAAGGGTCCAATTTCTGTCTTTTGCATGTGAAAATCCAGTTATCCCAGAACATTATGTTGAAGGGATTATTCTTTCTCTACTGAATGGTTTTGGTACCCTTGTTGAAATAAAATGACCCTAGATGTGTGGGTTTACTTCTGGACTCTCAATTCTATTCCACTGGTCTATACAACCATCCTTATACCAGTACCACACTGTTTTAATTATTATAGCTTTGAAGTTGGTTTTGAAATTAGGAAGTGGGAGTCCTCCAACTTTGTTCTTCGTTTTCAAGATTGTTTTGGCCATTTGGATTCCTTCCAATCCCATATGAATCTGACAGCTGGCTTTTCTATTTCTGCAAAAAAGGCTACTGGAATTTGACAGGGATTGTTTTGAATCTGTAGTTTGCTTTGGTAGTATTGACATCTAAACAAGATTAAGTCTTCCAATTGATGGATAGGTGATGTTTTCCCATTTATTTGGGTCTTCTTTAATTTCTCTCAGCAGCATTTTGTAGTTTTTAATGTACAACTCTTTTACCTCTTTTCTTAGGTTTAATCTCCGATATTTTATTCTTTTGCCTGTTATTATAAATGGAATTGCTTTCTTAATTTCCTTTCCAGATTGTTCACTGGAAAAGCATTTTTTATAATCCAATTTCATGTCTTAGAGGAGTTTTGAGAAAATATGCCTTTCATTAAGACTAGCTAATAGCTTTATATATTAAGATAATACTAAACTTGAAAAAAAAAAAAAGAGAGAATGTGAAGTTAGAATCAACAGAGCAGAAAGGTCCCCTCATTCATTACCCTATTTTAAGCTAGAATGTGTTAGATGACAGTTGAGAGTAACTTTGAGCACCTGAAGTGATGGGCAGCGCTTTACCTCCTTAGGGAGTCAGGAGTCAGGTAAAGGCTCATGGCTAGGAAGTTCTTATATTGAGTTGAAATAGTTTCCTTATAGTTTCCACCCTTTGGTTCCAGGTCTATTAACCTAAGGACCTGCACAAATCAGTCCATGGCTATCCTAAAGTACTGTGTCCCAAACAAACCTACTTCTCAGTGCTGTGCTCTGAGCAGGGCACAGCAGAGCCAGACGATCAGCTTCCTCCTTCTGGACATTATAGTCCCATTAATTTAACACTGGAGTCCTAATTATACCATATTGGTTTACAGTTATATTAAATTGACATATGACTATACTTAGACATGTGGTAATAAAAGATAGTAATAAAAAATTAGTTTTTGTAAATGAAGTTGCATTTCAAGTGAAATATTAAGAAAGCTGGATGTGATTTTGCACAGCTTAATTTTAGCACCTTTACATTTAGACTTTGTAAAAAGAAATGTATAAAGCAGAGGGCACATTTAACATATTTTGCATATATCATTTAAGATGCTCTTGTTTACAGATGGAAGATACTATTTTATTTTTCCATAGATAATTCTAAAGTGTAATGTTTTCTTCTTGTTTATTAAAAGAAAGAGAGTTGCCTTTCATAAAAATGTGTACTCACAGCTTGAAGTGTTCCTGAATAAGCAGGTTCATTTAGGAGGACATTATCTCCAGGATTAACCATCATTTCAAACACCTAACAAAAGAAGCATAGGTTAGTCTGGATAGTATTATTTCCATTCTTAGAATGCCTTTTTTATAGTTTGAGCTCACTAGGATTCTAGAGTAGGAATTGGTAAATTTTCTGTGAAGTACCAGATGGTACATACTTTGTGGGCCATAATGTCTCCATTGCAACTATTTATCTCTGCCTCTATAATGAGAAAGTTGCCAAAGACATTATATAAACCAATGGGTGTGGCTGAGTTCCTATAAAACTCTATTTACAAAGTTAGATGAGGGCTGGATTTGGCTCTCAAGCCATAGTTTCCCAAACTCTGTTCTAGGTAAGATAACTGGTTTGGCTCCTAAAATTCACTTATGCCTTTTATTCCTTCTTTGAAAATTCATTAAATATTTACTATAAGCCAAGCCTGTGTATGGCATGGAGACAAAATGATGAGCATAGCAACACGGTTCTTATCCTCATGGAGCTACTAGTCCAATGGGAAAGCTAGACACTAATCAAATAATTACTCAAATAAATGTATATTTAAAAACAATGGTGAGTGCTATTAAGTATAGATGCACAATGTTATAAGGGCCCATTGTAGGAGGACTTGGGCATTCAGGGAATTCGGGGCATCAGAGAAAGCTTCCTTGAGGAAGTGATGAGTTGGTATAGAGGATCACAGTAGGTACTTTGAGAAACTGAAATAATTCTGTGGCTTGAAGGGGAAATATAAAGAGGAGGGTGGAATGAGATCAGACAGAAGTAGGCAGGGAAATACCATGTAGACATTCAAGCCACATGAGGCAAGTAAGAATTTCAGGTAGAGGCTGGATAGGGGGAGTCACATTATCAGATATTCACGTTAGGAAGATCATTCTGCCTTCAATATGAAAGAATGAAAGATGAGTGAGAATATATGTGGAAAGTCTGGGAAGTTTGAGGATTATCTGGAATGTTTTTGCTGCAGTTCTGGGGAGAGATATGGGTGTAGCCTGACAGACAGTGATGATGGAATTGGAGAGAACTGAGAAGTATTTAGGAAATCCAAACCAACAGAACACAATCATGGACTATAGGGGAGTGAGGAAGAGGAGGCATGAAGAATGACTCCTAGATTGCTGGCCACGGAGCTAGACAGATAGAGGGAGTGATGCTGTTCACTGAAAAAACAGAACCACAAACTCTCAGAGAGGGACAAGGTGATGAGTGTGTTTTGGTTTGAGATGCCTTTGAAACATCCTGTCATGGTGCCAGGTAGACAGATGGGACACATGGATTTGAAAGGAGCTTGGAAGTTATTAGCATATGATCAAGCGCATGGGTGTGAATGGTGGGACCCAGGGAGAGTATGTGGATTAAGGGGAGAAGAGTTTCTGAGGACTGAGCCTTGAAGAACTCTTGACAAATGATGGATGTGTAGAGGAGGAGGGCACTGCAAAGGCAGGGTAGTTGGGCCAATGAGATATTGAGAGAACCAGAGAAGAGTGTTTCAGAAAGGATGGGAAGATCAACAATGTGAAAGGATATTTAAGGACAGGCGTGACAAATCTTCAGAGATTCTGCAGACAATATGATCTAGACAATAGATATCAAAGGGGTCTATTATGACGAAATCTTACATAATTCATGGAATCATCTTTTCTTTCCTTGTGGTGTGTCACAATCATCAGTTCAAGCCTCTCCTTCCTATCATTTTAACAACCTGTATCTCATGACAAACAGTATGGCCATTATCAATTGAGATAGACGTTCTGGCTTTTGTTTTCCAGTTTGGCCTAGAATGTTCCCTTCATCTTTTCCTTATGAACTTTTGGCATGTTATGACAAACAGTATCTTCCTCCGAAAAGTTTCTAAGTGATTCAGGCTTTAGAGGACATCCTAGGACCAAACAAATTACTTGGGTGGCATGTATATTGCCAATAAATCAAATGAAAACCTAATCACATACATTTTCCATGTCAATTAGGGAACATGAAAATGCCAAATATCCTAAATGAAAAGAAGGGCTGTTTATTATCTGGTAGCACTATTTAATAGAGGTAGACAGAGACAAAGGTGCCTAACATAACATCTATCTTGGAGAACAAATTGGAAGGAATAGTAAACCAGATTCCCACGAAGGCCTCTGTAATAAGCATGTCTATAAGTAAGTGAGTTATTGGTGTATCTGGCCATCTATGCTATCTCCCTTTGTTATGACTGATGTGAAAGATAATGAAGAAATCATCTTGAGCATCGTTCTGGGAGAAAAGTTCATGGGGTATACCTTCCTAAGAAAAGAATTTAATTAAAAAGAACTTTTTTCATATTAATCTATAGAATCACAGATGTTTCTCTTCAAGTAAACACTCAAACAGTAGCTAATTCCCCTTTTTTCCAAATTAAATACAAAAAGAAGGAGGAAAAATTATATTCTTTTTTTTTTTTAAGATTTTTATTTATTTATTTGAGAGAGAATGAGAGAAAGCACATGAGAGGGGGGAGGGTCAGAGGGAGAAGCAGGCTCCCCGCCGAGCAGGGAGCCCGATGCGGGACTCGATCCCGGGACTCCAGGATCATGACCTGAGCCGAAGGCAGTCGCTTAACCAACTGAGCCACCCAGGCGCCCGGAAAAATTATATTCTTATTAAATACATTTTTCTGTCACAATAATTTAAAATTCATTAAAGCTAACTAGATTGCAGCTTTCACATTTTCCTAAAAAGAAAAACAAAGCTCCTCTGGTTTAAGACAAATAAGAGCCCTTTTTAGTCTATGGGGCACCTGGGTGGCTCAGATGGCTACACGTCTGCCTTCAGCTCAGGTCATGATCTTGGGGTCCTGGGATTGAGCCCCACATTCGGCTCCCTGCTCGGCTGGGAGCCTGCTTCTCCCTCTCCTTCTACTGTTCCCCCTGCATGTGCTCTCTCACTCTCTCTGTCAAATAAATATATAAAAATAAAATTAAAAAAAAAAAGATAAATAAGAGCCCTTTTTAGTCTAGATGTGAAGACTGAATATAGAGAATCTTTATCTAGGACTAATTATTCATGAAAAAGAAAAGAAAAAAAGAAACAGATGAGACTGAGAACCACTGGTGCAGTCTCTTGTGGGAACTCCCCAGGAGTGGTTACATCTGTGGACTTGCTGGAACCCAGGAGAGAGGCCAATGGAATAACTGAAAGAGAGAGAGAAAGAGAACTGAGAGAGAGAGAGAGGGAGATAATAGGAGAACTAACCCAGAGAGAAGTCAGGGACAGACACAGACCTAGATCTACAGAAGCACATCCAAGGAGACCAGATGTAAACAGGGCTGAGCACAGATGACCTAAGCAGACTGGCAAAGGAATAACATTTCATCTCAGGAGTATCAGGATATGTTTTCTAAAGAATTTAAAAATCCTAGTGAAACTTCATAACTACATAAATCAAAATGTAACCTGAATCTCTAAGCCAGATGAAATTAAGCAGTGCTCATTAATTAAGCTTCTGGTAGGAGTTGAGTACTTCCTTAAGGGGAATCTTGTTTTAATGACTCATAGCTCTGGGACATTAACCACATGATCTACATTTAAGAAAAATCCGGTTGGTGAATGTCTTTAAGTTCCCTGTTTAAAATATGACCCTAGGGCGCCTGGGTGGCTCAGTTGGTTAAGCGACTGCCTTCGGCTCAGGTCATGATCCTGGAGTCCCTGGATCGAGTCCCGCATCGTGCTCCCTGCTCGGCAGGGAGCCTCTGACCCTCCCCTCTCATGTGCTCTCTCTCATTCTCTCTGTCTCAAATAAATAAAAAAAAAAAAAACAAAAAACATGACCCTCTTGTGGTCAGGTGAGAGATGACTATATTTATGAATGTATTTGATTCTTAATTTGGGGTTCCCTTTCCTTTCTGTCTTACCTTGCAAAGACCGTCTTGGCTGCCAGATGTTATGCATATGTCCATTTGTCCTTGGCTGGTTGGATAATTGATGGTGGGAGGATTATGCAATTTTACTTGTAACTGTTTTAGCCAGGACAACAGCTCTGGGATTCTAAAGCATAAAACATATTTTCAAATTTATAGTATTAAAAACCATTAATAATACTAGACAATAGTTAAATGGTAACTGTATGCCAAGCACTTTATTCATTCAATTTAAAAATCCTCAAACGTTTTTTGCCAATATTAATAATCCTATTTAAAAGACAATGCAACAGACTTATAGAAATCGACTCATTAAATGAACTGAGATATGAATCTACATCTTTCTTATTCCAAAGCCTATTCTCTTTTATATTAGAGCACTCACTGAATGATCGATTCTTTGTTCTCCTAGGAAAATTTCCCTAGGCTACCTAGAAGTTCAGTCTCAAGATCTTTGTATCATGGAAAGAAAAACCTATAGTATATATTACATATAATTCATATATACATAACGTGTTATGTTTCAATATACTTCTCAATTACAGAACAAAGAAGACTTTAATAAAGTATAATTTGTAGACACTCCATAAATTACCCTTTATCACTGGAAGAAGACCAGCTAGGAAAGTCATAAAGCATGTGTTCCAGCTTGCTTTTATGAATGGATAAAGAAGATGTGGTATATATATACAATGGACTATTATGCAGCCATCAAAAAACCGAAATCTTGCCATTTGCAACAACGTGGATGGAACTAGAGGGTATTATGCTAAGAGAAATAAGTCAATTAGAGAAAGACATGTATCATATGATTTCACCGATATGAGGAATTCTTAATCTCAGGAAACAAACTGAGGGTTGCTGGAGTGGTGGGGGGTGGGAGGGATGGGGTGGCTGGGTGATAGACAGTGGGGAGGGTATGTGCTATGGTGAGTGCTGTGAATTGTGTAAGACTGTTGAATCACAGACCTGTACCTCTGAAACAATACATTATATGTTAAAAAAAAGAAGAAGATAGTAGGAAGGGAAAAATGAAGGGGGGGAAATCGGAGGGGGAGATGAAACATGAGAGACTGTGGACTCTGAGAAACAAACTGAGGGTTCTAGAGGGGAGGGGGGTGGGGGATGGGTTAGCCTGGTGGTGGGTATTGAGGAGGGCACATTCTGCATGGAGCACTGGGTGTTATGCACAATGAATCATGGATCACTACATCAAAAACTAATGATGTAATGTATGGTGATTAACATAATAAAAAAAATCAGAAAAAAAAGATCTGCTTCTCTGATTACTGTTACCTTTTACAAAGTAGATCTCGAATTATGCTAGCTTTGTTTTGTGGCCTACCTTTCATATTTCAGTACAAATCTCAGTCCTACTTTTTTGTTTTGATAAAATATGCATAATAAAATGTACCATTAAAAAAAAAAAAAGAAATTAAAGACAACTGGGGGCGCCTGGCTGGCTCAGTTGGTTAAGCATCTGCCTTAGGCTCAGGTCATGATCCTGGGGTCCTGGGATCCAGCCCTGGTTGGGCTCTCTGCTCAGTGGGAAATCTGCTTCTCCCTCTCTGCCCCTTCCCCCACTTGTTCTTTCTCTCTCTCAAATAAATAAAATCTTAAAAAAAATAAAAGACATCTGAACAGAGGGCAAAGTATTTGCATAGCTGTCTGCAACTATTAAGGGAACACAATTTCTACAAAATCCACCCCCCCAGGACTTAAAATTTGCTGCTTTCTGGGTTGTCCTTTTCCTCCTTCCTCCTAACCTGCTTCTCTTCCCCTAACTATATCATTTTTTTTTTTTCCAGTCTCAGCTCCAATGGTATATACCTTCTCTTGGCTTCTACAAGGAAATAAGCCTCTCATTATTTAAAGTCAAGGAGAAGTCACTGAGGAGGGTTAAGCATTTAATAAACCTGTTGCTCTTAATTATTCTTAATTATTCTTTGAAAACTTTTCCCCAAACCTTCCTACCTGTGGAATCCCCAGTTAAAAAAGATACGTTACTTTATCAGTGGGCATTAGCATATTGCTCTTGAAAATGAACAAAATTATGTTATCTGTTGATAACTACCCGGCACTTTGAGAATACTGAAGTGCTCTCTTCATCATCTCTTCATCAAACTGGATGGGCTTTCCATTTTTTATGGTGATAACAGCAGTCATAAAAGGGAACGTATTGGGGTTTGGTGATCCAGGAGCCAAGGAGATGACTGATTTCGGTGCCCTGCTCCAAGTCTCAGCTACAATACATACGGAAGAGAAGAATAAACATTTCCATTGAAGACTTTTCATCAACAGAGACAGCTCAATATGTTGCATTCAATAAAACTGTAAAGCTGAACAATTTCTAGTGATAGAATACTAACCTAAAATAAACACGTAAAATTACTTTTTCTGGACCCACCTCGCTGGTGGGGGAACCAAAGAATGGAGATGTCCAACTAAGGCGGAGCGATGAGCCAGTTAAGCAAGGGGCCACAATCCCAGAAAGCCTCCTCTCCTCCTTTGAGCGCCTCCCTGCCCGTCAGGCTCCAGCGCTCACTCCTTCCCGCTTTACCAGGCCCTGCCCACTCCGCACACACCTGCACCTGCGCCTAACCTGCACTCATCCTGCCGCGAAGAGCCTTTCTAGACAGCACACCCTGCCTCTTCCAAGGACGTGTCCCGCAGCAGCTGAGAGACCCATTCCCCGCCTCCCGTTCCGGCCCAAGTGCTCTGAGAACAAAGTCTGTCCCCGTTTCAGCTCTGCACGCTGAGCCTGCACCACTGGGAGCGTCACAGCTGCAGGAACGAACCCGCGCCAGCGCGGACCGCAGGCACCGCCGCCGGAGGCTCGGCGAGAACCCCCCCCGGCGGAGGGGCGCCGGCCCAGGACTCACTCACGACGCGGACGGCGGAAGGCGTTCTCGCTGCGCTCGTGGCGGTGAGGAACCGTGCGTAATTCATGTCTCTGGTACCCAAGCACGCTCTTCGGTAGCGGAAAACTGGAAAACCAAACCCCGCGTCAAGGAGTGCGCCGAGCTCGGAAACGCCGCCGCGGCTGGACCCCCCGCCGCTGACACGCCGCGGCTGGACCCCCCGCCGCTGACACGCCGCGGCTGGACCCCCCGCCGCTGACACGCCGCGGCTGGACCCCCCGCCGCTGACACGCCGCGGCTGGACCCCCCGCCGCTGACACGCCGCGGCTGGACCCCCCGCCGCTGACACGCCGCGGCTGGACCCCCCGCCGCTGACACGCCGCGGCTGGACCCCCCGCCGCTGACACGCCGCGGCTGGACCCCCCGCCGCTGACACGCCGCGGCTGGAGGCTGCGCTCGGCGTCTGGGTCCCGAACGGGCCGGGGGCCGGGGGCCGGCCCGCACAGTGCGCCGCAGACGCAGGGTCGCTCCCCCTCGCGGCGCGCGCCCCGCGCACTCGGGCCGCCGCGGGGGCCGGGGCAGGTTCCCGCCTCGCCCCCTTACGCCCCGCGCCGCAGCCTATGGCCGCCCGCCGCGCGCGCCGCCCCATCCCGGGTCAGCGCCCTCCGCGCGGGGCGCGCTGGGTGACGGCCGGCCGCGAGGCCCTTGCAGTCCTGGGCCAGTGCCTGAGTCCGTTTAAAGCGAGGCCGACTCTTGACCTCGCAGCGGGGAGTCGCCGCAAGGAAGAAGCTGGGCTGCCCTGGGCGCCCGCCTGGGACCTTGCCGAGGGGCTACTGGGGGGTGGGGGCGAGGGGCGGGGGGTGCGCCGGAAGTCCCCGCGATCCTAATCCTTGAGTGCCATCTGGTGGCTGCTTTGGTCCATTGCAGCGGGCTTCCCAAACTGCTTTTGGTCTGGTACGCCTAATTCCTTGTGGCTGGTGGTTGGTTACCTGGCCTCTGGCGAAGCAGCTGGCGCGTTTCACCCCTCGGGCACTGTTGTGTTTCTTACTGACCTTTCGTAGTATAGCTATAGGCACTCTCCCAGGAAGTCACCTAGGCGACCCAGATTTGCAACGTCACTTTCTCCAAGATCTGGACATTTTAGAGTGAAGAGTGGAGTGTTGAAACAAATTTTGGAAGAATCACTCTGAGGGTCTCCTCAAATTTTACTATCTTCCCTCCCCTTGGATTTTCTGACCTTTCATTATGGACTTCCGTTAGACTTAGGACTTAGATTCATCCCTTTGCGTCTAGCACCCGGACCTCTTTTCTTACAGAGCAATTCTCCCCATCCTCCACCTTCCACTTGCATCCCCCTCTACCCCCAGTTTTCTCTGTGATTTCACCTTCCTGAGTCACCAAAATGGAATGCAGTTTTCCGTGTGAGCACTTAATGAATGAAGATTTTGAGACAGTCCCTCTTTTTTTTTTTATTTATTCCTAGGTGGATATAAAAGAGTCATTTATTTTGAACAAATTACAAACTGGCCTCATTCATTCAGTAAACATTTATTGAATACTTCCTGGATGAGTACTGACATATTGTCAAAGGGCTCTCTTCTAGACAGAAATAGATTAGTCCAGGAGACATTTCTATCTTTATCCAGGTCCTGGCAACAAAAGGAGGAGATAACCCAGTGAAATCTTTATGCCGGCAGCTGAATACCAGAAGGGAATTTCATTAGTAAAGCTGCCAGAAGCTCAAGAGGCAGTGGGGTTCTGGATTCAGAGACTTCAAGTGGTTTAAACCCCACTTGATTTACCAGCTGCATGTCTTTGGACAAGTTACGTTTTTTGTGCATGAGTTTTCTCACAGAGCTGTTGGCAGGATTAAATGAGGTAATCCATATTAAACACATGAGCACAGCGGGCACATTGTAAAAGCACTCAATAAGTGTTAGCTCTTATTGTGAGTAGTTACAATGTTTTTACATAAATACTCATCCTCCAAAAGTTTTTGCCTGAAGAAACTACTTGGCAACACTCAAGGCAAGTTGTATCCTTAGTTAATTCATGAACACATTAAGGATCTTTTTGAGATTGTCAATTTTAAAAAGGGTTGCCCCTGAATGTTTCTAGAAATTAGCTCGAGAAGCTCTAAATACATCTAGATAAGGTATAGACCAGGGTTAAGTATGAAATGTAACTAGAAAAATTGGTGTTACTGGAGATTGCAGCTTCTTTTTGGCTCCAATAAGTGTGGTTCCCTCAGATACTTAACAGAAACCTAAATTCCTTTGGTAGTAGGAAAGGGTGAAAGCAGTTTCGAGTTTTGGGCTAAGAAAACACTCAAGATGAGCTTTTCCAACCACATTCATGCAAAGTTCTATGATTTTTATAATATCTATTATATAGACATTAAAATAGTGCAGAACTAGCCTCCCGTCCCCCAACAAATAAGTAGAATACACTTCCAGGAACCAAAACTAAAGAGATTTAAGGCCATCAAGTCATAAGATGTAGGTTCTCAACCTTTAAACACTTTTGCTGAATTTTCTTTTGGGCCTGCCCTGGAGTTGGATAGGTGAGATGGTTGAGGGTGCTGATTGGTTATAAGCAGGGTGAAGCCAGGTACAAGGGCAGAGAATTGGCCCTTGAGGAAGGGCTAAATGGAATGCATGGACTTTAGGATTATGTTCAAAAAACGCAAGGCAGAAAATGGTCACTGTGATGGGAAAGGGACAGGCAAGAGTTAAGTTAGAGAGAGCTTACCTGACAATCAGATGCTGAAAATTGATTACCAGAGAAATCAAACAGACCAGACTTTGAATTTGTCAGGAGCGACAGCAGAAGGAATTCTCCTGCAGGAGTAAGATGAATGAGCAAGGTTCCCAGCTCAGCGCTGCCTTTTTAAAGTCTTGGAGTAGGACTGCCTGCGGATAGAATTAAAGGGGACAGTTCTTCTGGATCTAATCATTCTCTAAACATTTATTGAGTGTTTGCTCTGTGCTAGGAACTATAAGGAATTTAAAAATATAACTGAGACAAGTCTGGAAGAGCAAGTGTTTGTTGGTTGAGGGGTTAACAATTTCATATAATTCAACATCCTTAGCAGACATCCAAGCTGCTACGGAAAGCAGAGAGAAGGTAGTGGTTATTTCCAATGGACACAAGTTTCCCATTGAGTTAGAAGTATAAGTTTCCTATTATGATCTTGGTCGTGCTCATAGTCTAAAATCAAACAGGGTCATGCATAGGCTAATTGTCATCTTTTACTACTTTCTCTTAAAGGTTAGAGGTCCTAATAGGAAGACTTGTTCCTTACTTGACAGATTTATCCCAGAGCCTTTCCCATAATCTGTGAGGGAAGCAAATTTCTTTGTTGTTGTTGTTGTTGTTGTTGTTTTTAAGATTTTATTTATTTATTTGATGGGGGGAGGGGAGAGAGAGAGAACAAGCGGGGGTGGGGGTTGGTGGCAGGCAGAGGGAGAAGCAGACTCCCTGCTGAGCAGGGAGCCTGCTGTGGGGCTCAATCCCAGGGTCCTGGGATCATGACCTGAGCTGAAGGCAGATGCTTAAGGACTGAGCCACCCAGGCGCTCCAAGGGAATCAAGTTTCAAAACACCAAACCTGTTCAAAGAAATGTTGCTGATGTTTCTAATTTGCATACTTTGGGGCTAGACTGTTGAGACAATTTTGGGTGATAAATGGAGATGGAAAATGTGTGTGTTTGGGGGGCTGGTGTGGGAAAGTATATTATTATCTGTTGTGTGATAAGTTATCCCCAAACTTACCAGCTATATTATTCTTCTGGGGTTACCATAACAAAATACCACAGATTGAATGGCTTAAACAACAGAACATTATTTTCTCACAGTTCTAGAGGCTGGAATTCCAAGGTCAAGATGTCAGTAGGGTGGGTTTCCCTTGGGTCCCCTCTGCTTGTCTTGCAGATGGCCGCCTTCTCCCTGTGTCCTCACATGGCCTTTTCTTTGTGTGTGCCCATCCCTGGTGTTTCTTCCTCTTTTTATAAGGACACCAGTCATACTGGATTAGGCCCTCATCCTAATATAGTCACTTGAGGGGTTAGGGTTTCAACATATGAATATAGGGTGGGGACACAGTTCCGTCCATCACAACAGTTAAAAACATCAAACACTTATAATTTCCGTGGGTGGGGAATTCAGTAGCCATTTAGCAGTCAGTTCCGGCTAGGGTTGTCTCCAGAAGTGGAGGTCAAGATAATGGTTAGGGCTACAGTCATCTGAAAGCTTGTCTGGAACTAGATGATCTGCTTCCAAAGCGGTTCATTCACACGATTTGTTAGTTTCCTGGGGCTGCAGTAACAAAGTGCCCCAAACTGGGTGGCTTAGAGCAGCAGAAATGTACCGTCTCTGTTCTGGGGGCTAGACGTGAAAGATCAAGGTATTCGCAGGGTGGTTCTTTCAGAGAGCTGGGAGGAAGAATCTATACCATGCCTCTCTCCTAGCTTACTGTGGTTTGCTGGCAGTCTTTGACGTTCCGTGGCTTGTACTTGCATTGTCCTGATCTCTGCAATCATCTCCACATGGCGTTCTCCCTGTGTGTGTGTCTCTTCCCTCTTTCATAAGGACATCAGTCATATTGGATTAGGCCTCATCTTAATGACTTTATTCTAATTTGATTACCTGTGTTAAGAACTCTATTTTAGATAAGGTCATATTTTTAGGTACTGTGGTATCTAAGTTAAGACTCCAGCTTATCTTTTAGGGGGGACACAGTTTAACACATAACACATGACTCTTGGCTGAAGACCTCTTGCTGGCTATCGGTAGGAGAACTCAGTTGCTTTCCACATGTGCCTACCCATAGAGTTGCCTGAATGTCTTCATGACATGGATAGCTGGCTTCCCTCAGGTTGAGTGACCCAAGAGAGAAAGGAAGAGGCTTCAGTGCCTTCCATGACCTAGTCTTGGAAATCACACTGTCACTTTTGCCTTATTCTGTTTATTAGAAGTGATTCTTTGAGTCCAGTCCACTCTCAAGGGGAGGAGAATCATGGTCTACTTTTTGGAGGAGGGAATGTCATAAAATTTGGATTTTTTAAGCCCCAATATGGGGCTCAAACTTATAACACCAAGACCAAGGGTCACATGCTATACCGACTGAGCCAGCCAGGTGCCCCATGGACATTTTTTAAAACTACTGTAGATGGGATGCGGGGTTAGGTCAAATTAGACACAAATGTTAGTTAGGGTAGTGGAATAAAACTAAGGCAGGAATCAAGTCAGAGAGATTATACCTGTCATAAATACTGGAGTCAGCCACTGAACACTCAAGGAAGGAGGAACTGAGGAGTTAGATAGCTAAGATTAGTTATCAGAGAGACTAAACAAAAGAGATTATTATATACAAAAAGAGAAAGAATTCTTTTGAGGAAGAAAGTTGTACCTGCAAAGCTGCCTTTTTGATTTCAGATACTGTATTTTTCAGCTTTATAATTTCCATTTGGCCCTGTATAAAGTTTCTATTTTTCTGTTGAGATCAACTATATTGTTCGTCATTGTAAACATGTTTTTCTGGAACATTCTAAGGCCAAGGAA